TTTCTCAAACCTGGCAAGATTAAGGAATTGAACAACACTCTATTAGCACTCATTCCCAAGGTTGATAATCTAAAGACTTAAAGAATTCAAGGCGATCTCACTTTGCAATGTCAGTTATAAAAATATTGCTAAGGTGATTGTCAACAGACTCAAACCTATAATGGATAAAGTGATAGGCCCTTAACAAAGTAGTTTTGTTAAAGGGAGCCAAAGCAACGGTAATATTATTATAGCACGTGAGGTTATTTGTTGCACTCCATAAGTGCACAAGTTGTACCAAGTAATATAATGAAAGTAAAGTATTATTACCTCGAGAATTTGTTTAAAAACAACAATCAAACAAAAGATTAAGTGAGTTAAACTAAGTTAAGCCAAAACATTATTAGGTGAAGATGATGTTGCAAACTAAATTAACACTAGAAAATTAAAAAAAAATTGATTCACAAACTTCAAACACAAATTGAAATTTAAGATTATTTATCTCCATTGTATCTCATAACACCAAAATTACCTCCTCTCCTAAATGCTTTTAATAAACATAAGTGCTAACCTAAATACTTGAACAAGCTCTCTCAAGTCATAAACAAGTGTTTAGTTAAATTAATTGCCCAATCTCTTATTACAATCAATAAAACTCAATTCTAAGCACCAACCTTAATATGGTTATATAAGGCTAGTAAGTGTATTTCTATCTTACTAGTAAAACTATCCATTTAATATGCAAATAGCAAGTTCTTGCATTATTTTACCCAAATTCTACACTCAACTTAGTCTTCTCAAGTATGAATCAAGTAAACCTAACATTTAAATGGTAGCTAAACATTTAAAAGCATCAAGAAAAGAGTAAAATAAATACATATATATTATTAATCACAAAAGAGAGGAGGAATTTAGTGTTAATCCACACAAAGGTTCAAAATAATCATAGAGCAAAAAGTTTAGCTACTCATAAACATCAAAAACCTTCAAATACACAAAATTTTCATAGCCATAACAAGATTACAAGAACTAAAATGGAGAAAAAACAAAGGAACTAAAAAAATGGAGCTTCAAATGTCTTCAAAACTTCAACTCTTGGACCCAACTCATCCAAAACTCAAACCCTAACACAATTAAACTCCCAAAGTATATTCAAATGTGTGGAATGCATTATGAGTTGAGCTCTCATCATATATACATCATACCGAAGCATTTTCAGATAAATAAAATAAAGGGTTTGGATAACAGTAGTGAAAATCATGAACAAAAGTCATGACTTTAGGATAACTTTAGTAATTTTACATGGTTTTCGCTGTTAACGAAACTTGGCCTTCGTGCACTTGATTTCTTCATCCAAAAGCACTAACAAAGGTTCTGAAATACATCTAATCAGACCTTAAACCAAAATAACACAAAATTAGCCTAAAAATATTGAATTAAAAATAAATGTGCAAACCAAAAGCAAGATACAAATTTTTCCAATTTGAGGCAATTAAAATATAAATAATTAAGCCAAAATATATTAGAATTTAAGAAAAATGTGCTCAAATGACATGAAATTCTAGAGGTTAATATTATCTAGTCCCTAAAGATCAAGGAAAAAAAGTAAAGGCTTTACAGTAATCAAGGTAGACCTAGAAAAAGCTTATCACAAGATCAATTGGTTCTTTGTTTAGAATACTCTAAGGGAACTAGGATTCCAAGACAATCTCTATAATGTTATAATGGAATGTATAAGATCTGCCAATTTTGAAGTTCTCTAGAATGGTAGCCCTTCACCTACATTTATTCATTAAGGGGAATTGGGCAAGGTGATTCTAGATCCCCTTACTTGTTCATCCTATGTATGAAGAAACTTAATCATATCATCCTGGACGAAGTGAACTTGGAAGATGGAAGCCTATCAAGTTATCCCTGGATGGGCCAAACCTCACACATCTTTTTCTTTGTAGATGATCTTGTGCTCTTTGTGAAGGCCTCTTCTAATCATGTGGAAGTTTTTAATGAGTATGTTGAGAAATTCTATGTTTTCTTAGGACAAAAGATGAAAAGACATAAGACTAGAATGTGTTGTTTAAGGAATCTTCACTTCAATAGAGCCCTAGATTTAAGTAAGAGACTGGAAGTTATGTTGATAGGGGACCTTGGGAAATATCTTGGCATCCTACATTAGAGAGCCATCTATAGCTTGTTTACACCTATTCTTGATAAGGCCAAAGCCAGAATGATAGGTTGGAAGAGAAAGTTCTTATTTATGGCAGGGCATATTGTGTTGATTAATGATGTGATTTATGCTTTACCAAGCTACTTTATACAAACAATCCTCCTTCCTAAGAAACTTGTTTCTAACATAGAGATAGAGTGTAGAAAATTTTATTAGGGGGATAATGACAATAAGAGTAAAGTTCATCTCTTGGTTTAGAAAGATCTACTCATTGATAAGAAACAAGGTGGACTTGGAGTAAAAGATCTTTCAACACAGAACAAGGCATTCATTTCCAAACTTTGCTCGAAGCTCCTTGTAGATGAGAAGAGTATATGGGTCTAAGTCTTAAAAACAAAAGAAAAAACATAGTTTTGGGTCCCTACTTTTTGCTCGCATTTTGCAATTGGTCCCTGCACTTTTTTTTTCTATTTTCAATCCCTACACTTTAGTTTTTCATTGTTTTAGGTCCCTATAATCCCTGTACTTTTTTTCAATGTTTTAAATTCCTATAGTTTAATTTTTTCTTGTTTTAGGCCTCTCCAAGATCCCTACACTTTGTTCATGAAGAGACCTAAAACAATAAAAAATTAAAGTGAAAGGACCTAACATACCTAAAAAAAAAGTGCAAGAATTAATAGCAAAAGGTGTGCAAAGTGTAGGGATCAAGAATTATGTTTTCCCAAAACAAAATACAAATGTGGAGGAAATGTGATCCCTATGGTGGAGAGAAAAACCAATAACTCTTTAACTTGGAGAAGTATATGCTCTTGTTAAGGACATTTTGAAAGAGGCTTGGGTTAAAAAATTGGCAATGGGATTGGTACAATGTTCTGGAATGAGTCATAGACCCCTTTGGATGCTTCATTAGCTTAACTTGCATTGAACTTCTCTTTGATCTTGATAGTAACATTGCTGATTTTGTCAATCCTCAGGGTCTATGGGACTTGGGTAATATGAATACCTGGCTGCCTAATCATGTAATATCTCGCATTGCTCGCACTCATCACCGAGATTTGAGAGAGGAGAGGATACCTTTATCTGGAAGCCATCCTCGGATGATAATTTTTCTATTAACACTACCTATAAATTTCTTTTTGTAGGTACTCCCCCCGCTGTAGACGCATTTTTGAGTAAAATTTGGAGGTGGCAGGGTTCGAAGAAAATCAAGCTACACTCATGGCTTATTGCTAAGAACAAACCGCACACAGTGACAATTTGAGCTGCCCATGGATTGCAATCTAATGATCAGTGCACTTTAGGTTGTCCACAACAAGATGTTATGTATCTTCTCAAAGATTGCCCCCATGCACGAGACAAGTGGAGTAACTTGGTCAAACAAGATTTATGGGGAGATTTCTGCAACCTAACTCAAGAAGACTGGGTTTCATGGAATCTCAAGTATAAAGCAGGCCAGAACTCCACAAAGTCTATCCCCTGGGCTACTCTTTTTGGATAAACCAGGATAAGATGAAGTTAGGCTTGACACTAATGGCTCATGTAGAGATGGAATGTCAACTTATGGAGGGGTCATTCGTGAAATAATGCTAAATGGGTGGCTGGCTTCAATTCCAATCTGGGGAATCTACCTCCTACTATCACTAAAATTATGGGAATCATTCAAGGACTAGAGCTATGTTTCCAACTAGGCTTCACTAAAATTAGATTGTTCTCTGACTGTACTGAATCTATTAACTTGATCACGGGAGCTAATGTATCCTGGCATCCTTGTAGGGATGTCATCGACCATGCTCGTTTTTTAGTCTTTGGAATAAGATTAGTTTACTTGCACTTCAATTGTAGGGAAGGGAATTTCGGTGCCCACTCCTTTGCTAGGAATGCCCCTATTAACTTAGGAGGCTATAGAGGTTTTGAACATCCTCCCCCCTACTGCCAGCAGATTGTAGAGGAGGAGCTGATAGAGTCTCATACTTCTGTGACGCACAATTAATCTCTAATGATTATTGAATCTAATTTTCATTCAAAAGAAAAAAAGGTCAACAATTTGCCTTACACCAACCGTACGTGTCTTTCTCTTCATTGGTTGCTGATGCACATGGAGACTCATGACTGGCGAAAATAGTATGTTTTGCAACCTATCATACCTTTGACGCATTATTTACAAGTAATCAATAATAATTTGCCTTGCACTCATTATATCTTTTTTTGAATTAAAATTGCAGATCTTAATGGTCTAAAGTTACAAGTGAGGTAGAACCCAAGTTTTGACTTCGTGGGGGGAAAAAAACTTAGAAATCATAAGATTTTTTCTCCTGAATTCATACTTTTCGTTTGATACTTTTGATATGATAAGAATCTTTTTTTTCTGGGCAAAATAACAAATATAACATTTTTATATTGCCAAGAAGATAATGTCATAATTTTTATGAAAAAAGGATGATAAATTTAAAATCATGATGGCAACTAGTTCCTTTTTTCTTTGAGAAGAACTTTAATTTTGAAAAATTTTAACATGTTAAAAATTGTTCATGCTACAAAATCAAACCATACTGTTATTCTCGTTAATTAATTATTTTTTTTAAACCAGCCGTTAATTAATTATCAATCATTATCATTCAATCAACATCAATATTTCATATAAACTGTAAAATCATCAAAAAAAAAAATTGGCATCGTTCTCTTGTTATGCACAATATTTTCTTTGAATTTGAACAATTTCTGTTACATCAATTTTCCTTCTGTTCATATCGAGTACAATATATACTTCTTTATATCTCCCTCTCCCTTCTCCCATCTAGTAGGTAACTTATTCATAAAGAAAACGTCAAAACATCACCCTTGAGCAATGGAGGCAAAGTTAGGGGCAAAAACTATAATATTCACATTATTATAATAATTAAATCCAATACAGATGGGAGGATATACAGAAACTCTCATATGTAAGAAAACAGCATGTATACAATATATTCCATTGTTCTTCCAGAAATTGTCATATAAAACAGAAAACATCCCTGGAAGTGCAAAGTTAGCTTGAAACGGCACCGCGCGCTTGTCATCATCGAGAAAAACCCTGTTAGACCTTCGTTTGGTGTTGCATGGCATGGCAATATCTCTGCCTCATAACCAGTAGGTCAAGTTGGAATCATCAATGTCAATCTGTAAGTCAGTACTGTGTTTATGAACTTCAACAGAACAGGTAACTGATATACAAGGCTTTAAACCCACGTATACCATATGGTTTGGGGTGTATTTGACTTCACATTGGAGAAACACACTTAGTCACCTAAATTTGATCAAAAGCTAAAATGTCCAGAGATTGACATAGATAGGAGAAACAATGGAAACTAGACACTGCATCAGGACAAAATATAGGTGTTTGCGACGTGTATCAAACACGACATGATGTTTACTGTGCTTTTTTATGTATCTGTCCTTCGTACATCACAAGTTAGTGAACAATGTACCTGCTCATCAAAACCTGTAGGAATCTCAAATTCTGTTCCAGATGCATCGGCGAGATCTTCAAGAGTATCCTGTAATCCGCAAGTGCATAGATTGTCAAAAAAATGTTCAATGACAGATTAGACTTTAAGTAGACCAAGCTTTATTATAAAGGAGCATTTTAAGTATTTTGGTGAAAGTTCTTGCCAAAAAAGTATACATGACATGCTTAAATGAACCTTTAAAAATGGCTAAATGGCCAAAAAATTGGCTTTGTTTACCTAAAAGTTGTAATGATCTAGTAATAATCAGACTAAGAGCCTCTAACATGCCTTTCCTTAATGCCCTTTATAATGTCCCACCTTCCCCAACTTCACTTTTATTATTTTTTTTTTTTATTATTGACTTCTACATAAAACAAGAGACATTTTGATATTTTGAGGTGTTGAAATGGTAGGGTTTTGTACTTTTTATTAATTTTTAAAGAAAAATATCAAAATTACACACTTTTATCTTTGAAAAATTGTAAAAAATACAAAACCCCACCGTTTCGAGACTTCAAGATATTAAAATGTCTTTTATTTCACGTAAAAGCCAATGATCCCAAAAAAAAAAAATTGAAGTTTAGGAAGGTGGGGCATTACAAAAGGTATTAGGAAAAAGCATATTAGAGACTCATGGCCTGTAATTATTTGAGGCTGGTACATCTCATGTTCCATATTTGTGCCCCCCCATTATTTTTTTCCTATGGATCTTCTGAGAGTTAAGATCCTTCGTCATTTCTTCAAAAGGAAAAATAAACAAAGATAATACCTCCTCATGCAGATTAACAGCAAGGTTCTCCACTTGGATGGATAAGTTGTCAGTAACTGCTTCAGCAGTTTCAAGTGTATACTGTAAATCAAAGAATTCAATTTAATGACAATGACATTATGGTCAACACTAGACACTCGTCTCATGCATTTAATTAAAAAAAAAAAAGATGAAACGATGAACCAGACCAATTAAAACAATAGGTATGCCGAGACACATGAATTAAGGCCAGTTTGTTTAAAATTAAAGAAAAAAGTGATTTTAGTTATGTTTAACAGTTGGGTTGTTGGGAAAACATTAAGCTAATTATGAAGGCTTTGCTGGGGGAAGAAAATCTATTTTGAGCCTTTTTTATAAGCTATTCCATATACTGCCTAGTGGGATAAGGATTGATGTTGTAATATTCCAAATAGCTTATCAAAATAAGCTTTTTCCAACACATCCCTTGTGTGTTTAGTTTAAATTCTCTAAACAACTCCCCCATACTACTAATGGAGACTTGGTAGTTTGGAATACCAAGCCCCATATTAAGTAATATGGAATGTTCAATGAGTTATTTAAATGGGTTGGTTTTCCTCCTCAATAGCTAACTTTTTAGGCAAGGTTTTCCATCCCACTTAGGTACCATCAATTGGTATCACAACTTAATTGTTGGCAGTTCTAGAAAGGGCTATCCATGAAGGAATTTTACCGACAGGATGATGAGTTAAGTGTCATGAAATGCAACCTTCAGGGCATTGGCTTTTCCATGGGGAGCCAATTGATAGAGACTTGATACTGTGGAATACCAAATCCCAAATTGAGTAGCATGGAATGTTCAATTGGATTCTCCCACCTCAATAGCTAAATTTTGTGATGAAGTTCTCCATCACACTTAGGTATCCATCAACTACCAACAACTTTCTCATGTTTAGCCTAACTAAAGTCACTTTTTTTAATCTTAAAAATAAACAGGCCCTTAGTCCCTCCATATGCATATTAAGATTATACATAACTATTACATGAACAAGTTCACTCCCACACTATGCACTTGTACAAGTGACTTGCACCCATAAGGTTGAGTTCCTAATCTTCCAACATTCCTCTATATTGTTACAAGTTCCTAAATTTATAGGGGCTATGATAAGTTGTAATTCATAGAAATTGATCGTGTTCAGGTTGGCAAGGATCCCGTACACCATTTGATTATCTCCAAAGAAGCTGAGCATATTGCTCTTTAACAATTACGGTTTGATGATTGGATCCAATTATTAGCTTTCACATGTTTACATTATCTAGTAAAGGAAAACTACATTTTGGCCATCCAACATCAGCAAATAAGCCTGAATTTCCCACAATAGTCTGATTCAGAATCCATAATCATAATATTCATACCAATTTGGTGATGGAAAAAAAAAGTAAAAAATAAAATAAAATAAAATAGTAATCCAAAATCAAGATAACCTGCTCATTCGACATCTTGGGTGATTGTCTGGATTCCAACAGATCAGGCTTAGTCTCCTTGGGGCTTCCCTGTTACATGCAAAGAGAAGTTGAGGAACTCGAGATCCAGTGGAAAGATGCTCAGATCAGGAATAAGAGTTATGTCATGCAATTAGAAATAATTTAAACCACGTAATAAAGAATCAGCACCATCTAGAATGAAAATCCATGTTATGACAAAGATCCATATCATCATGGTCCTTAGTGCAAATGCTCCTACCACATGTGATTGAAAACTTGGAAAATTTTTTTTTTTTTTTATTAATGTGTTTTGTTTCCTTTATTAGGCTTTCGTTTATCTTAAGTTGTTTCCTTTATCATGCTTTGTCTTTCTTCTTCCCCTACCCCTTTTTGATTCCTTGTCCCACATCAAAATGTTCACCTGATTTTACTGGGGACCATCAATGTCCTAAGGAAATAAAAATTACAAGAAGCAAACAGAGTAATCATCATATTTAATTTTGTACATCAACAATAACTTAATTGATTTGCTACAGAAAAGTTCCCATAAAACACACTTCATCATTCCGCGCAGGACAGGAATTTTCTCGGTTTGGTATCGGAAGGCTTTCTCTCAGCTGAAGCATCCTAAAAATAAAGACAACATTATCAGACTTGGAAATGCCAGAAGAACTGCTTCACTTCAAGAATTCAAAAATACAATGTAGATAAATAACCAGAACTACTTCCTATTGAGAATAGATGATATAAAAGAAAGCCGGCACCTACAAATCATGAAGTTAGATATTGAACTCCGGTAAAGAGTGTCCAACTCCAGAGCACATGGTTCTAAATCAATAAGCTACACAAAGGGGACTGGGGGGTGGATTCAGTAACGTAAACTGGGCCTAGCTGTGATTTATTACCAATAATAATGATATGTAAAAGAGCAAAATAAATATCAAGAATGTATACCAGTTCATTTTGATCCAAAGAAGTGACCTTTCCTGCTTTGCTGAGATCTCTTAGAGTCCCCTTCAAAGCAATGAGGCAAATAAATCATCATAAATAATCTCATCAGATGACCCTAAACACTTTTTGCAAGATGATAAAATGAAACTACTTGGAATGTGATACACCACTCTAGCATAGGCATTGAAGTTCAGAAATCCATAATGAACACCTATGGCTTTTCCAAAACCATAACATCATACGGTAAGTAGGTTGATAGCCACAACAAATGGAAAAACGACAACATTACTTGTCAGGTCAGGCAGAATAAAAAAGATGCCATAGATAAATTTATCAAGCTGACAACCCACATCCTCCTTCCAAACTTCAATGTGTAAAAGAGAGAAGAAATTACATTACTTGCCATGTATAGTGGATCAATTAAAAGCACATGAGAAAATCACTACACACTTCAACCATGGCACAACAAACTATTCTTAAAGTTAGCAAGACCATAAAAATTCCAGGCTCCACCCATGTGTCAGACTAGAGTACCAAACAGAATTTTATGCCCAAAAAAAAATCAATAGGTTGAGATATGATTATGCTACATCTATTCTGGAGAGCAGTACAAGCTACAAACAATGACTTGAAACAAAATTCAACACTAAACTGAGAAAGATGTATTAACAAACTACCTTATTTGCCCACATAAGCCCACAAGCATTGCAGAGAGATCTTGGACCAGCTGGTCCTCGCCGCATTGCTGGAGTAGACTTTTCACTAATTCCACAATGCTGGCATTTACGTTCACTTGACAACACAGGTCCAACAGAATAAAAACCAGATTGACACAAACATGTAACAGTTTAAGAAAAATAACTGCTATGCCCTTAAGTCTAATACAATCAAAACCATAGCTTAAAACTTCCTATTAAAAGAATCATAGCTTAATACTCACTTAGATTCTGAACAAGCAGCACCGTTGCTAGAGTCCCAGTTTTCAGCAGCAGAACTGTCACATTCCTTTGATGATGCAAACTGTCCATTCTTGCGATGCATCCTATTAGACAATCAAATGCTATAAGTTTCCAGAACAGTGGCCTCTATGAACAGAGAACCATAATGTCAATAATGAATAATTTCTAATACTTATACTCATTCCCAATGCCAGAATAGTCATATGCTGTATGACATGCGTGCAAAAATACTCAGTCACACAACACTAATCATTAACAAAACTATCAACTTGAATCACATAAAACACTTCTTACATGAGCGTGTGAGAGTACGCAAAACTGGGTGAGAATACTTCAATATTGAAAGATTGAAATCAGCCAAGCCTGCTCAAAGAATCCTCATTTTGGGCCCAAATGTGGTTCACATGAAGCATGGACACATAAAAAAGGACTTGTTCACAGTGTTCATGTCCATGTATTGTCCATGCTTCTTGAAACTCAATTGACCTCTTACAACTCCAATTGTATCTGGCTTAAGTTTAATGAACTCAATGCATAAGCTCATGTTATGCATCTATGTATCTCATACTATAAGTCAATTTGTACAATACTTGTTCATCATTCATGAAAAGAAGTAAAAAGCAAGGTTTTAAAACTAGACTAGTCATTGAACTAGCCAAGGTTAAAAATTGGACCATTTCATGATTCAATGGTCTTACCGTGGTCGAATCGATTGTAATTGAATTGATATATTTTTAGCTTTATATGATAAAAAATATACAAGAAACAAAAAAATATTCAACATCAGTAAAATATTAATAATAATTTGAACCTTATTTTTAAAGATGTAAACTCAACTCTCAAATAATATATGAAATTAGTTAACAAGTTAATTTTAATATATGTTATAATTATGATTTGATTATATTTGAAGAATCAATATATGCATCCAAATGGTGGAAGAGAGTCCTCTTGGTAGTGGTTAACAACAAATAAACACAAAAGATGTGACCATGAGACTAATGATGAATAATATGTATGTTTTCACGTTTTATCCTCAAAATTATTCTTAAAGTCTTTGAAATCAAGCACTTTTGAGAGCCACATTAAAATTAAATTAAAAAGATAAAGTTTGAAAGAAAATATATAATTAAATAATTGGAATAACATGGATTAAAAATATGTCCTTACATGAACAAAAACAATTTGAGAGATAAACAGAAAAAAATTGAAAAAGATCAAATAAAAAGAGAGAAACTGCTATGCAACACTTTGAAATTGAGAAGCAGATGAAAAAATCAGTCAAGGAGAAGGAGTGATAAGCGGTTATAAAAGGAGAGGGAGGGTAAGGCACACTATACGTGAAAATAGGTTGAGTTATTTTTTGCAGAAATGACAACTCTTAGCCCAAAGTTTTAAAAATTTTGTCAAGTGTTTTCTTTTTTCCTTTTTCTTTTTATTTTATTTTATTTTTAGAATTGGGCTGGTTTTCATATCTTGAACCGGTCTGATTTTGACTGGTTTAGCCAGCTTTTGACTAGTTTTTCCAGCCTTTGACCACTTCTGTCATAGTCCAGTTATAGGGTTTCATCTGAACCAGACAAAGGACCAATTCCCGGTCCAACTGATTGAACCAGCCAATCTGGACTGATTTTTTAAACACTGTAAAAAGTAAGTGCAAGTTGGTAGATATACTAAAAGGTGTACTTTTTCAAGCCAACCCATGTGTTACATTAAACAAACAAATACTTGACTCAAAAGCACTCCTTTTCCTCCATCCAACAAATATGAAATCCTCACAACAGCAATTAATAATTTAAGAGCAACTATCAGCCAAATTGAACAATTAGCGAAGGTTATAGCTATCCAAACAGCACACAGAAACAGAATCACAATTTCCAACTACCTGCACCCTACCTCTGTGCAACTTCTTTACGGCAGCTGTACCGAATTTTTTTCTCAAAACATCTCTCTTTTCGCTTTTCACGAAACCTAACAAGGGATGCAAACCTCCGTGAAAGCTTTGAACCCCGAGAAGTATCATTAATTCCCTGACACATTAGTAGCAGAACACCTAATGATAATTTTAAGGGGAAAAAAAGTGATAAAATTTATTTTAAAAAAAAAAGTTGTTTTGACTGGAATACCCTCATGTTCTGATAGTTCTGTTGTAGCAAAAGCTCGGTGCTGGGGACACTACAGGGGCTGGGTATCTCACACCCTCCCAACAATAACAATACAGCCTGTACCTGTAAATCAGATAACAGGGATCATCAACCCAATAATATCCAATAACTTCTTAACTGTCAACTTAAGACAAAGGACAAGGACTATAGACCAAAGTTTGTTTTATAAAATAAAACCTAAAGTTTCATGTCTATCCTTGGCTGTTTTTGCTTACAAAAGGTCCATGGTTATGCATATGAGCAAATTAAAGATCAAACATTTGGAACCTAGAATCCATATAGATCTTACAAGATCAGGTTAATCCCAAACCAATAAGGGGATCATTCACAAAAAAACCAAGAAATAACTAGATGTGTATATTCCACTAGAGCCACCCACCCTAGCCCCAACCCTCTTCTCCAATTCCCCTCCCCGCCCCCGCCCCCGCCCCCGCCCCCCAATGGAGGATTCACGAGGGTAGAGCCCTGCAAATTTTGTCACCTGCTAGCGATAATAGGTATAACATTCTTCAGCCTCAAAAAAGGTTCTGTGCATTTCTCATTTTTAATACAAAATACTAATCTACACCACTTGCCCACTATCCTCCTTTCCATTTGATGTAGTTTTTTTACCTTAATGAAGCAAACACACTCGGCAAACAGATACCGTAACCGGTCAGATACCAGGGCATGAACTGGGGAAGCCATCTCTTTATAAACCAAATTAAAAAAAAAGAAATAAAGAAAGAAAAAGAAGGCGGGGAAGACAAGAAAATGGCACCTCTTTGTCACGAATTATAGAATAGGTGGTTTTCTCATCAAAATTTGAAGATTCTACATTTTAAAAAAAAATGAAAGCAAAATACTTGAATGATTTCCTGACAATCAGTCTGCGATAAGAACCTAAAGAAATCATAATAGAGGAAGTAATAAAATCGAACCTTTTCTGGCGTAACCGCTGGGAAAACATAGACCTCGCCTTCAAACGAAATGGTAAGTTCACTGGTTCGAGACTTGAAAGCACAACCATTTGTCCCCGGTAAGCCAGAACTCACTCGAGTTTCTTCCACCACATCACTGACCTCGTCACGACGTCCATTAACACATTGAGCATTTAACCCATCTTCGACACCATCCACCTGCATGGGAACCTGCACCAGCTGTAGTTCTCCGTCCTCGAAAGGCCGTAATTGCAGTGGCTGTGGATTCATAGTACCCATGTTCCAAGAAACAATCACCTATATGATACACCCTCGGTGGGAAATATGTTCAAGTTTTTCTTCTTTTCCGAACAAGAATACAGAGACTAGAGCAGAATCACCAGAAATTCACTAGAAATAAAAGCTTTTCCCCCTGTGAAACTTGCTAACCCTAGGAAGAGTGTGAGTGAAGGGATGCTACATAGTGTATACAGTGAAACAAATTATAGGAACACAATCTGTGACGACAGAACGGAAAAATATTGAAAGCTTTGGATTTTAGGATTTCACTTTCCTGGGAAGCCCCTTGTTGGCTGACGCAGCGCTAAATAAAGACTGGACGAGTAACTGAAACAAAAATCGGAAAATTTAAAAGGAGAATTTGATTACAGGACCATTGACGTGATTTTATTTGCAATAAGTCCCGAACAATTATGAAATTAAACTGAAATTATGTTTTGTAAAAAAAATTACTAAAATCTTTATATAATATTATTTGTTAACTTTTATAACAAGTTAAAATTGTATATGAACTTGTTACAATTCACATTTGATACATTCAACATTATTTTATAACAACATGAATTAAAGTTATTAAAATTATAACCTTACTTGTTGTTTTAATAATGTTTTTTATTTGGAACTTTGGTTGTTATAAAAAATTAATTGAAGGGCATTTTAATTATTTCTCTATAAAAAATAATTTTAATTTAACAAAAAAATTACTCCAAATCTCTCATAAGGATTCTAAATATTATAATGTTCCATGAAATTAACAAACTACCTCCAAATATCAAATATTTTTATTTTAAATATATTTTATGTTTAATTACTAAAATACCCTTATTTTAATTTAAAAAAAAACTATGCCCTACCAATAACTTGGCACCCCGATAGCCCAATCCCAAAAAATTATGGCACCACTGGACTGTTGAAGCCATTTGATAAATGCATGCAAAATATTTATTTTATATATATATATAGATATATATATAAAAAGAACTTAAGGTGAATTATAAAACATTAGTTGTCAATGTCTTTTGTCCTATTGTCATTTTACCTTGCTTTGTTGTCATTACCCTCTGTCTTGTTGTAAATAATTGGTGTTGTATAATGCAACATCTAGAAATTTATTTAATGATTAATTTAATTAATTAGGTGGTTTAATTAATTAAATAGGGGTGATTAGGAGCTAACATTTGGGTTTGAATGGCTATTTAGGTCTATTGAACTCTCTAAAAGGTTTAGTATGGGACTTGAGAGGTTATTGGGCTAAGAAATTAGGCCTTAATAATGTTACCTATTTTGAATTATCTGCCATAATGAGAAGTACAATTTATCACAACTAGCACAACAAAAAATTAAAACTAGAGTCTACACAATGTTTTCATAGACAAAAATGAAGTGTGAGGGTTTGGACAAAAGGAAGGTGAAGTTCTCTGCTAGAGTTTCATTCTAGAGGGTAATGGGAGTATATTAAAACTTTTATAACCTTGGGTAAGCCCTATCTTTCCTCCTTCTACCTCTTTAGCTTTGTTTTTCTAGTTTAAATGCAAGGGACGTGGTTGTCAAATTGACGGTTGAGCTACAACCATCATATGAGTTAAATGGGTTGTTTGGGAGTTATTTAATGCTAATATACTTAGGTTTTAATGACAAGCAGCATTAAACATCATTAGCAAGGGTTTTAGAGTAAACCATAATCTTAAATAATTAAGTTTAAGTTAATGAAAGTTAATGGAAGTGATTAGTGAGCCTAAAAGGAGTTAAATAAACTAATGAAGATTATTTTTTAGTCTAAATATACTTAATCACACTTAATAAGAGATCGGATCTTAATCATTGTTAAGGGTTAATTAATGATGGCTAGTTATTAATGTTATTTTGTGAATTTGGTTGAAAATTGATTATGTTTGGAGTTTGAGTTTGAAGTAACTTTCTTAGAAAATCCAAATTTGACTCTTAGGATAGTAACCCAAGAGTGAAAGTAGTCAAAAATCTTATTATTACATATAATTGTATTTGCAGCTGCAATTAAATTTCTATATGATTAGTGACATGAAATGAGTAGCAAGGATTTATTGAGACTGTTAACTTGAGATTGTAATTAAATGTAAAGTATGTCTAATAATGATATTTGTTTGATAATTATGTTGATAAAAATATTATGTGATTAAGAAAATCTGACTCGTTGGCCTCAACTGATTGTGAGTCATTGATGATATTATGTAATAAAGTGCGTGCACAGATTGGCTATGATTTATTGATGATGTTATATGATGATTTATATTTATGTTCTTTCAAAGATGCTGAGCTCAAGCTTATTTTGATTTTATGATTAGTGTGGGAGAACAACTTGATAATGGATGTCCGAATAGAACCATGACGGAGTCATGAAAACATAAAATGAAATGTGGTTTTCTCAATTCTAGTCTCCATCTTTGTTGTTTTGTTTTGGAAAATTTCAACTACGAAAGTTGTGCTTAAATTGATGAGAAAGAGAACACCCAAATTTTGAATTTTGCTTAATCTAGACATTGTTCTCTGTCCTATATTTTGAACTTGAGACAATAATATTTGAACAATTTGTTGGCTTTGGTGAGAAAGACGAACAAGTTAGGGATCTTATGTTCCACATTTAATATTTCTGACTTCTTTGTGGGTTTCATTGGTGATTTATGGTTTTAACATAAGCACTCTAACATTTTAGATTGAGAGAATTATGTTAAAGTTTCATATAAAAAAATTAATTATTATAAGATTCATTGACAACTGAGCTAAACTGCATTAATAACACAATTAGTTGTTAATACAGTTTACTTTAGTTGTCAATGAACTTTATAGCAATTAATTTTCCTATATGAGACCTGCTTGTAATTCTCCCTTTTAGATTTATCATATTTTGTTTTGTTTTAGGGTAACATTTTGGTCATTTTTGCAATGCAGCATTTTCCAGACTGCTGCAGATGATACCAGCAGATAAAAATCAATTCAGGATTCACTGTGCTGCTGCGCAGATTGGCTTTGGATCTTATTCTCCTTAGGAACATGTTTATCAAAATGCAAGAACAGGGAATAGTAATGTATCAGAGAGAAGGCACAACATGAAACTGGAGTTTCACATAATCTGTGGTGAGCATCTTATGCCATATGATCGAGAAATTTCTTGGAATGAACTTACAAATTAATAAAAGAGTTCTAAAAGCTAACTGGTTTTATTTCCCAAGGCATATGAACCAACTACCCACAATACAAATTGCTGTATTTTTCCCAGCCACCATGCATGTTGCAGTCATTACTAGTTTGTTATTCATAAGAATGTGAACTAAAGATACAAATAATTGCTTATGAAAGTGACAGGAGTAGATGGTGATAGATTTGATCACAACAGTAGAAGAATATGAAGGCATAATTAAATTTATATAAGCCCATAAGATCATTTTTATACCAAGACTTGGGAATAGAGATAGAACACGGAAGCATACCTGAATCCATCGCCATGTTTTAAAGGTGTGTTTCCTGAATTTATCGCCAGTGGAAATTCTGTATGCTTCCAAGAAAGGGGATTGAAGGATGTTCCTTCTAACTAACTAAACCAATGATCATAACCCCTATTTATAGAGTTAATAGGTTTGTGATATTTGTGATTTGGCCCCTCAACAAATCATAAATATCACCTTGATCTCTACAAATTTATCCTATCATAATTATACTTCTAAGCTTTTAAACTTAAATTTAAATAAATCACTTTATTTAAATTTAATTAAATAATGGCCACATATTTTTAACATATACATGTGTGGGCCCCATATGTTGGATTTTATTTCCAACATAGATGATTGCCGTTGAAGTATTTGGTTAGTTGACCTTTTGCAGTTGTCTGTAAATTCTTCATTGGATCATAACATTTCCTGCTCATGAAAATTAATAAATAAAGGATCATAACTTTTCCTGCTTGCTGATGTCATTCTGTGTACTAACTTTCAGCTTTACTAAAGCATTTTAAACTGCTAGGGTTAGACAGAAGATCAATGATGACATGTGCCCAAGTGAAGCAACCATTTATCTTGGAATTGGAATCTGTTGACCCGCAAGGCAAACTCTGCTGAACACTAATTTTCTATACAAACCTGATACCATTGGATTAAACATGAGATGGAGTTGCACATCTATTCTTCAAAATGATGACAGTTCATTGTTTATTTTTTAAAAAAGAAAAAGAAGTTTTGTGGGTTTGTCCATGATAGATGCTTCATTTTTAAATTAGTGTCTGTGTCTTTTATTTTATTTTATTTCTTTTTTTTTTGGGGGAAAGTCCTAACTTTATCATTATTATTTTTTGAATTAGGAGCAATGTTGGGAAAAAGTGGCACTTCTATATGTGGAGGATATTATTAGAAATGCTGGCAAATTATTATGCATCACCATTGCTATCAAAATTTGGACTGCTGGAATAAGAATGTGCTTCAAGAAAACTGGGAATTGTAGGCACTGATTTATATTGTCGAATGGCTCAAATGCAACTTTGAGGTGGGTGTGCTGTATCATTCCTGTATAAATTGTTGGCAAATATTGGATGATGTGACTGGTTTGAACTGTGTAATTACTTGCGGTTGATAAATAAGTAAAAGGTATGAATTTGGTAAAAGTTCTTTAGATGATTGTCAGAACTCATAAGTAAAAACGTAATGCGTTATTGGAGATTTATGAAAGACCCATGTAGTTATGACTTTTGATCCGTGAAAAAAACATATATTAATCGAAAAACCTGATAATAAACACCTGAAACTTGTCTTTTTGTCTGTGAACGGTGAACCGAAAAAATCAACATTTTTGATTTTTATAGTCTAGCTAGTTAGACCAACAGTTAGATTGATGATGTAATAATTAAATAAAAATAATATTAAAAATAAATATAAGAAAAAATTTATAGTATATTAATAAAACGACATGACTGTAAATTAATATTATAAATTATAATTTTATAACTTATCAAATATAGATAGATCTTGGTTAAATTAGATACAAATAGACTCAAAAATATTTGTATTTACACCTATAACTATCAATGTCTTTATAAAAAGATGGTCTTAAATTATATTTTATGCATGTAAATTGTTCAAAAATAAAATTGACTTTTAAAAAGATTTAATTTTTGAATTTTTTTATTTTTTAAAATTTTTTAAGCTTTTTTTAAATATTATGTTTAAAACTGTCCCATTTTTGGCTTAGTGGCTCGACTCCAGTTCAATCCGATTCAATCATAAAAATAATTTTTTAGTCTAAATTAAGTTGTTAACTGCTCCTATCAACATTTTGATTAGTTCAATCCTCCAATTCAATCCAATTTTTAAATCATTGCCATGAATACAATTCTTGTGTTGTTGACTTGGTGCTTTGTTTCATTTTGAATATGAATACGATTACAACAATAAATCTTATTTTATTAGGTGGAGTCAATTGTATATATTACACTTTGAATTTGAATTTCTGTTGGAGCTTATTTGCAGCCACGTGGAGCTATGACAAACTTGTTAGATAAGTGCTTTTTGGTGGGGCATGCCGTTGTTATATGAAGACTTTGTGCATTAAAACACTATGATTGCATGTAGCGTTTTTTTTTTTTTTAATGAATTTATTTATTATTTACCACAACAGATGTATGGTGTTTATTATGAGAAAGATGGTTAGGAAAAAATATATATATATCAATGTTAAGATGAAATACGTACTCAGTTATATTCGTTTGCATGTGGAGAATTCTATTTATATTTATTCTCAAGTTATAAAATGTGGTAATTTTGCTACTAATTTTATCATTTTGTTTTACCTGAGTGTTTTCGTTTTTTTTTTGATTTGGATTTTGTTCGTGGAAAGATGAGTAACTCATAAGAAGATTCTATTGGATGACGGACCTAGAAAAATTTATCAAGGCGGCATTATTTAAGTTAAATATAAATGTTGATATTTTGAAGAAATATAATTCTAAGTATTAATTAAATTAAAGAATATATAAATAAATTATATGAAAAGTTTAAAAATTTATATTAATTTCATTTGTATCATGAATTTATTTTTATAATAAATATAAGAATAAATAATATTTTTAAATATGTATAATTGATAGTTTTAAAGAGAATATGGGATAATTGATTTTTGGGAAAATAACATTCAAGGACCACTCAAATAAATTATTCACAAACAAGAACTAACAACAAGTTTCATTCTAAAAAAATAGGTTAAATTTCTATCTTAACAACAATTTATTTTGTATTAACCCTTATTATAAATAATTTTTTTAAGTGGTCTTTAAATGTAATTCTCTCTTGATTTTTCAAAGGAGGCAGTTGTAATTTTAAAGGAAGACAAGTGTAATTTTAACTAAAAATTAAATACAATTTTTTCTTTTTTAGTGATGGCAATTGGCCCCCTCTATGCTTAACGCGGGTACGTGTGGATCGGGTTGGTCTCATGCTAGCAGGGCAAGATTAAAGAGGATGATTTAAAGAGTAAAATACAATAATCTCTCACTTATCCAAAAATAATAATAATGATAGAATAGCCTCTCTTTTTTTATAAAGATCTCCTTTTTATTTTGAAAATCTTCAGGTTAGTCCTATTTTTAACATCATTGGGAATATTCCGTCCAAAATTTTAAAATACTTAATTTTTTGTTTATAATTATGTTAAAAATTTTAAAATTATTAATTTGTCATTATAATTTAATTGTCTATTATTTCTTTCAATTTTTAAAAAATTAAATCATTAAGTTGGTGGATATTTAAAAATATAATTTAATTTTTTGTTGAAAAAATAAACATCAATTATATTAAGTAATTTATTATATTAAATACTTATTTTATTTTTGGCCCGGAAGTTCTTATTTCATTAAGTCCTTTTAATTGCATGTTTGACATATTATTTGGAGAATCACATCCAAGGACCACTCAAGTAAATTGTTCATAGATAAAAATTAATAACAAGTCCTATTTGAGAAAAAAAAAGTAACATTTTTATTTTAACAATAATCCATTTCATATTAATATTTATTTGTGAATAATTTGTTTGAGTGGTATTTGGATGTGGTTCTCCTTATATTATTTTAAGTTTTAACCAATTTATGTATTTGAGATTTTTTAAAAATACTAAATAAATATGTTAACAAAATAAAAAAATTAAAATATAAATTTAAAATTAAAAAAAATATTTTCATTATTTTTTTGGGTAATTTAAATATTTTTAGACAATATTTATATTTGAAGAGGGGGCATTTTTGTCCAACATATATAACTTAACGATCAACTAACAGTTAGATGAATGGAAATAAAATTTCTAAAATAGAGGAAATATTTGTGTTTTGTATTTATTCATCTTAGGGGAGGTTTGTATATGTTTCATAAATAGAAAAAAGATATCAATAATTAAGATAAAATAGAGAAAAAGTTAGGGTGTTTTACTCTATTTTAAAAGAATCCTGATTTGCTTAGAACCTAAAATGAAGCATATTATTCTGGACTTATAATTCATTTATTTATATACATAAAATGAAAATATATTTAAGAGGTTAAAGGACCAATGAGGAATGCATTTGTGTGAGATTCCCTTTCCTACAAAGGATTAGATAGGATGTTAAAAAAAATGAAAGGAGTATTTTGGGAAATTAAGTTGAAGGACAAAAAAGTAAGGGAAAATCACAATCAAGGATTACTAGAGATAATTAATTGCCATTCAAAAACAAATAATTCTAATATTACTCTGCAAGATCAAATGACTTAAATTGAATTAAAATTTGTTGTGAAAAGACAAAACTACCCTCATGTGTGTGTATTCTTTTAACAACTCCCCAGTCAAAAAAAAATTATTTTCATTTTAACAATAATTAATTTTCTTATCAACAACTTCAAAAAATTAATTTGATGATGGAGAGGAACAAGTGTTGTAATTTGCTAAACAAGTCCCCATTTGGAGAAAAAAAAGACTCATTTTCATTTTAACATCAATTAATTCTTTTATTAACAATTCTTAAAAATTAACTTGGTAGTAGAAAAAAATAAGTGTTGTGATTTGATAAACAAGTCCTCATCGGGGAGAAATTAAGTTTCATTTTTATTCTAATAACAATCAATTCTTTCATTAACAAATATAAAATATTAACTTGGTAGAGAATAATTGTTGTAATTTAGTGAACAAATTTCATTTCCATTTTAACAATAATCAATTTTCCCATCACAATAAATATATGTCAGGGATAGTTTTATCTTTTTACAATAAATTTTAATTACATTTACGTCCTTTGATCTTACAGAGAAATATCATAATTATTTAGTCTTGCAATGAAATTAATTGTCTGCAGTGATCTTTGATCGTGATTTTCCCAAAAAGTAATGATATTTATTGTAAAGGACAATTTAAAAGTGCAAATAGACTGAAGTACCAAGTCATGAAAATCTACTTCTAGTTTTAAAATATAGAATACTTAATTATTTCACAAAGATTGAAAAATAGTTAAAAGTGATTTGTATAATTAAAATGTTAAGAAAATTATCACTATTTTTTAGGCTCATTTTTCAATTAAAATTAATCTATCTTTATTAAATTTAATTTCTTTCTTATATAATCTATCTAATACAACTAATAAGAGCATTTGTGGGGGAAAAAAAATACTTTTATGTTATAAACTTTTTTTTTGTAAAGTGTACATTTTTTGGTAATTAGTAAAAAAAATATTCTATATTTTGAACCTAAAAGAGTCTATTGTAAATAACACCTTTATCATGCATCATCATGACATTTTTAATAACCAATGTACTAAAAGCTAAATCGATTATTGAATTGATCAAGATACAAGTTCAAAAAATAATGATTAAAATTATAATCAAACTGTAATTAAACTAGTTATAAATGAAGCATTTTATTAAACTAGTGCAAATACTATCTTAATAGTTTATTAGTTAAACCAGGTGAGTTGACCAAAATTTTCATACTATACCAATAACTACAAATAAAAGGCAATCACGAGTTAAACCAAGATAAGGTTTGGATTGATAGATTTAGATTTAAATTTAAAATTTAAAATCTTACATTTTAAATCTCATATTTAGAATTCATGCATTCAAAATCTTTTGTTTAAAAAAAAAATTGATGAAGAAGATTGAAGAGTTAAGATTCAAAACAAAAACAAAAAATCAAAAGTAATGAATTCACTTATATTTTTTAACCAATAACAAGTAAGAAGAGATGCAAGAATAATAAAACCACAAAATATAAACACGAGTTTGAAATGATTGAAATTTCATTGATAAAAAAATAATTAAAATTTCAAATAATTAAAATAGACAAAGGATTTGAAATTACAAAAAAAAATATAATAAGAGATGAATTTAAAATTCAAATCCATAAAATTTTGTTCATTCAAATAAAAAATCTAATTTAAATTCAAATCCCAATCTAAATCTCAATTAATCCAAACACACCACAAATGAATTTTGATTACATTGCATGTATCTGATATCACAACAAAATCCCTCAAAACCTTTTTAATTAGTGAAATTAAGAAGACTTAATTAACATTAATTTCCTGACATGTGACTTGATCGAAAATTTCCCCAGAACTTGCCAAAACACAAAATGCCAAAACAGGAAAAGAGACAGAATGGCATTGAATGGAGGCTAACTGTCAATGATGTTTATTCTAAAGAATCAACAAGCACATTGACATTTTGAGCTCCCAAGCCTAACCCCCCCAAACCAGCACTCTAATGCTTTGGGAGCAACCTGACCTGAATTAATTTAACCAATGGCATAATACAAAAGGCACGTACATATATATTAATGTACATTTTGCTGTGAGAGCCAAAAAGGGAAGGGGCCAAAAAACCTAGACTAGGGAAGGGACTGAAGTAAATATCTGTGAAACGAAAAAAAAAATAATAATAATGGACTGTGGCTCAGACAATAAAGTCATGACGATCCAGTGAGAATAAATGCTTGAAGAAGGCTCTGTGCTGCTTGGGTTTGATCTGGTGTACCAGACATGACAATAGTTTTGTCTTTTGTTCCTGGACGAGGCTCGTGGACAATAACTGTGGCGCCTGAAATCTGATACAGGGAAATAGAGAAGAGAAAGATAATTTAATGGAAAGAGGAAGAAAATTTTGAAGTTTCTACAACAATAAGCTGGAATAACGACGCAGATTCAATTAATGCTTCATGGATTAGTTGCATGTTAAATCCAATGTATTCATGGTACTGGAGTTTACATGCAACCTTTTCCTTCAACAAACATGTCATCCAGCAATTTTGACTCATTGGAGATTCCAATAGGTCGGTTACCAAAAGGAAGAATTGAAATTAGCATGTGAAAATACAAGTCCATTATGGTTAAAAAGAACAGCCTGAAATATGATCCAGAGAAATATAGTAGAGAATTGGGAAAATATAACTTTTAATCCCTGCACTTTGCTCTCATTTTGCCATTGGTTCCTGCACTTTTTTTTCGGTGTTTTAGGTCTCCACACTTTTGTTTTTCATTGTTTTCAGTCCCCCATGAACAAAGTGTAGGGACTTAGGAGGAACTTAAAACAATGAAAAACAAAAGTGTAGAAACTTAAAATACTTAAAAAAAAAGTATGGAAACCAAAAGCAAAATACGAGCAAAGTGCAAGGACCCAAAGCCATATTTTTCCTAGAGAATTTAATGAGAAGCAGGACATTTTGAAGCTTCTACAACAAGAAGCTGGAATGACAATGCAGATTCAACTAATGCTTCGATGGTCCCCCCCCCCCCCCAAAAAAAAAAAAAGAACGAGAAGAATCAAATAATGCTCCATGGATTAGTTGCATGCAATAGCCAATGTACTCACAGTATTGGAGTTTCCATACAACTTTTTCCTTTACCAAATATATTATCCAGCACTTTTGAGTCATTGGAGATTCCAATTAATCAGTTACCAAAAGGAACAATTGAAATTAGTTCATGAAAATGCAAGTTCATAATGATTCATGAGACCAGCCATTGGACAACTGAACAACCACAAAATAAATGTGTAGGTACTGCTACGAGGTTGTATGATTACTTCCACATACAAACTTAACCTACAAAATAGAAACTTGTACATGACATGTCATTTTAAGTTTCAAAAAACATTGCCATAGTACCTGTCTCAGACGCGTCAGATTGTTACCACCTTCCCCATATACAGAGTCAAAAACATGGTCAGGAACCACAACTTCCACAGTTGTACTAGTCACAATGGCAGCTTTGCTTGCACTGCAGATAAGAAGATGATGATGATAAGAAACAATCATTTGAGACACCTCGTTTAATGTGCCCAATGCTTTATTTTCACCACTATCAGAAACAGCACTTTTGAAGGCTACAGAAGCCTAAAATTTCACTCCAAAGCTAGGGTTTCATATTAGAGGTATTATCACACAAAAAGGTCAATGAGAAAACAAAATATCAGATGGTGGTCAAGTATAATGGTATGCCATCTGAGAACATTGCACACAACAATTTCACTAGAGGTGATTGAATGCCAAAATTGGCATCCAAATGGCAGCACTGGAGAGACTAAACAAAAAAAAACACTACGCGCTTCAGCAGGCATAACTCAGTAGAAAAATGAGCACTGCAGCACAAGCAATTTCACTTGACTGGATCAGACAGAGTTAGACATGATATATACCACAGATATCAACACGAGTCATTACAAACCTAAATAACATTTTTCTGCTCTCTAAATGACAGATCTGTGATTTGAAGGTGGTTAATTTAATACAAAATAAAATATAGCTTTGCATTCAAAACTAGTAGATTGGTTTTCATATCACCAACCTGCCTAGTTCCAAGCCACAGTTAAGAGAACTCAATTTCCTACCAACATCATCACTGCCTCTTGAAGCCATCTGCAATACAAAAGATCCATTTGATGAGGAAAACCTAGTGAAGCAAAACCAGTCAGAAGAGATGCAGAAATATACCTGTGATGTCCATAACCCTGGTGAAGGAGAACAATCTAAATTTCGAGTAACTCCAGGATGATCTATGCTTGAAGAAAATGTTTGTTTACTCTGATTATGAGAAATCCCAGCACCTGGTTGGGCACCAAGAGGAGCACAATCCACTGGCCTCCCATAGGGGCCAGTGTCATGGAAAACAGAGGAGGTGCTCCTTGTACTGGCAACATTTTGTGTACTGGCAAAAAGATTATCTCTTAGTCTACCAGTTGCATTATACAAAGCATCTTGAACATTTGAAAACACTCCTGATATCTGAGGGGGAAAATATACATACAGAAAATTAATAACCGTTTAGGCATCCACATGAAAGAATGTATATTTCATATCTTATAGGACATTTTCATCAATGCAGTTGCTAAATTATTAGTAATTCATATTGATCTTGCATGTCAAACTTGAACAAAACTAACCAAAAGGGGAAAAAAACAAATAGTGGATATCGTCTTATCTATGGAGGAAATATTTTGTTTCTGGGTTGCTCATTATCATAATATAAATGTGAAATCCAACAGAAGATTTTGGGGAAACTCATTGTATGAACTGGACCTTGCATAGTATGACTATTTTTAATTTACAGTTTACACTAGTAAAAATGGATGCTTTAGAACATATACATATCATGGGCGTTTACATGCATCTATATGTGTATGTAAATATGTATATCTATGAAATAGGATGAAACTCCCATCAAATCTAAATACACGAAAGGAAGGTAAAAAATAAATGATCAAACCCAACTAAGAATTCAGGTACATCTCAACCACAGCTCCAAGTTTACAGAATGACCTTGAAGATCACTAATTTGGGTGATTCCAAACTGGTTACTACCATGACACAACGATTGAATGTCCAAGCAGCAGCTATAACTGGTATGTGTGCTAGCAAGGAGATCAAGCAAGTCATCTTTGGCTTGGCTAAAAAATCATAGATTTCTAGAAGATACAGCAACTCACTGAGAACTCCTAATTTAATTTCAAATCCGCACATTGCAGTTGCAATAACTGATATGCAATTGGGATGAAGATGATAGATATCACATTTGACTAGTGTAAAAAGCATAGATGATATTTATCTACAGGACTATGATGAAAGGAGAAGAAATTCCTATGGCTTCAATAAAACTCTTATTCTCCAAAGGAGAGAAACAGAGAACCAAAGTTGGCTTTTCAAAATATATTTCCCAAGGAAGAGACACAACTAAATCTAATTTGAGCGTGTCAGCATTGTAGCAGTTGTTCATGAACATCCTTTACAAGGATATTGATACAAGATCACCTCTGAGCAGCTAATTTGCTAGAAGAAAGGGAGAAAGCTTTACGAAATCGCAGTAGTTAAAGACCTTAATGTTATAATAACTACTATGACTAAATCATGCCCTCATTTCTCCACTGATGCAATACTGCTGATCTTTTAGGAATAATGGCTGTACTGGTTATATTTAGATCATTAGGACATATTCAGAAATGAATTTATCTTTGTAGTAGGGATTGGTCTTCTCTCACATTGTTGAAGGAACAGCGATTTCAATTCTCATACCATTCTTGCCTTAATAATGTCACCCCTCATTATTCTTAATTGTCATATTATCTCATCCCTCATTTTATTATCAGAGTTAATTGACCCATCATGATCAACACAGCCATTCCTTCCACTAATGAATCTGCCAATCCACCCACCAACCCAAATGCAAACACCATTGCTCAAGCATTTATCATTTACTGCTTCCAAATCAGAACCAAATGACGTTACGACTACTGAAGTGGCTACCCGCAAAACCAATACCAAACGGACAGAACCAAGTCAAGAAGCATGCAACAGAGGGAAAAAATCCTACTGGTTAGACAATGAAGATGCAGTTGTAGATAGCCCTTTGTCGTTGAGGAATCCTTTGCAGAAATTGTATGCCATGGTGAAATTTACCTAATTTGAAGGGATCCATGGGATGGATTCCAAAAGTATAATATTTTTGCTATTACCAATATTCAGGAGATTTAAAAGTTGAAACTTGCGGCAATGCTGTTGATTTATTTGCTTGGGTTGACCATGGAAAGACTATCTTGTACTGGAAAGAATTAATAAAGTTCTCTAGACAACTATGACCCTGCTAAATTCCAAAATTCAGCCAAGCATTTGTGTAACACCAAGAAAGAGGGGAGTGTCCAGGCATATCACTAGTAGTCAGCTAAATGCACAAGAATCAAGAACCAGCCAAAACATTGTTCTAACTGGAGTGTTTCCAAGTGATTTAAAAGAACTAAAGACAGATCTGAGGATTCATACAGCGAGATCAACCTTCAAGGGAATCAAAATAAATGAATTGTATTGATAGATCCTCTCACTTATATGCCACAAGTTATTTATAAAAGGGCATTACAAGATGCATTCCGTTACTGTTGTACTAACTAACTAGAACTGCCAAATAACGTAACTGACTTATCTATCCTTACAATCAATAGGGAATCGAGCCTTTTAGTTGAATTTTACGCCAAAGTCAACTTACACCATCTATACACGGAGCCCAACTATACCACTTCCTGAAATCCCACTTCCCATACTTCATACCCCTGTTTCCTCACTACTGTACCGCTGCCTATCTTTTAGAATTAGTGGCTATTTCTACTATATTGTAAGCTGTCTCATATAAACAGATCATTTTTACTTAGCTTCATTTTCAGAGATGAAATTATCTTTGTATTAAGGAGATTGGTCCACTCCCATACAGACCATACTGTCAAAGGATATGTTTTAAAATTTAAATTCCCACTCCGTTCTTTCTCTAAATAATTTCCATCCATTAATCATCACCCCTTATCAGATTACTAGGTCAAGGTTCTTTCTTCTCTGACATAGTGGATATGAAAGAAAAGCATGATAAAGACCACTAGTGGCCACACAGAATAGGTTCAGCGACCCTCACTGTAGCAGATGCTACAACAGTAGTAAGCACAATTACCTAGTTTTATCTTAGTAAGAGATGGCTCCAATCTTTCATAGTGAGTGTCGATTGAAAGTATCAAATACCAATAAACATGAAAAAAACACCACTTCATACACGCCTTACGAGTTACTATCCAAATCAGGAGAGGCAACTTATATTGTCTGGGCAGTCACCTGACTTTAGCCCTCAACGTTATGAAGCTCACTTTCACTTCTATTTCAGGTATATTCTTTTATTCTTTATCATCCTCGCCTTAATTTTTTTTTCAATGTGATGTGATGGGAGGAAAAAAAAATCAAAAGCCAGCCAGGAACAATAATGGCACAATACAACCTTAGAGATAAACCTCGATAGACATGGCAGCAGAGGAGGCACATATCTTGAAATGATATCAAATACCATGGATAAAGGCTAACATGTTTTAGAAGAAAAAAGGGTAAAGGGTGAAGCAGGCAACAGAAAGTCAGTACAATAAATTGTGAGAAAATTTAATTACTTTTAAGGTAATTGGTTGTAAGACACACAAAATGGCATTAAAAAAATTCCTAAAAAAACAGAGCATTCATCAGCATCTTTTTATTGGTCAAAACTAAACACACACACCCCCCCACTCACCTGTACCACTTGATCATTATCTGATGCACATTTTGGAACCTGATCAGTCCCAATTACTCTTATACTAGTCCCAGTTTTTTTCCGCATTTCTGAGACTATTGCTCCCCCTTTTCCTAACAAACAACCAACTTGATTTGTGGGGACTAGGATTCGTGCAGTAACAGATGACCCCCTATTGTATCCTGGGTCTAGCCCATTCTCACTGCCAGCCTCAACAGACTTAGAGAAAACAAGGACAACAGCCTTCTGTGCTGGGGAATATCTTGCTTCATGACTCTGCAGCAAATGAAGCCAACATCAACAACAACAAACCTTATCCCACAAGGTGGTATTGCACAATGTCATTCTGCTCTATCAACAACCAAAATGAAGTAGACAGAGAACAAAATGAAGTCAACATCAAAAGAAAAAAAAATTAATATGAAAAGGAAAGATAATGACACGTAGAACTCCAAGAAGCAGAAGTAAAAGGAAAACAATAAGATATAACAAACCTCTGAAGCAGTAATAGTAACAACCCTTTCCTCACAATGAGCTACTGAAGGACCAACCATTATAGAAGCCCCTGTCTCATTCTGAAGAGCTTTAACAATACTGCCACCCTTTCCAATAACACAGCCAACCTTATCACTGGGGAAGAGAATTCTGAAGGTAACTTCCTGCTGAAGTGCCTGGGGATCCAGGCTTGAGATCCTGTTAAAATCAGCTGACAATGAATGAAGCCCAGAGGAAAAGCTGTTTGAGCTCTTGGAAGCAGCGGATATTACAGAGTTCCTCTGGAGAAGATGATCTGCATGCGGATCAGTCAAAGTCTCATGTGGAATTACAACTGCAGAATCATAAGTCTTGCTATCCATCATCTTTGTTCTATCAGCTGGAGTGCAATCTTGAAGACAATGAGACACAGCAAGAAGTGCCTTCTTAACAGATGACACATTCCCTTCAATCTATCACAAGATCATAAGAACTTTAATAAGTGTAAGAATAAAACCCTTTCAGACAACATAAAATAGTTAAATCCCAGTTACCATCTTTAGATGCCCTTTGATCATTCAATCAGAAAATATTACCATTTCTAAGTCGTGTTTTACATTCCACCTACTGCAAATGGATTAAGAAGCAAATAACTTAAAAGGTGGAAATGATAAAGAAGCCAGACTCATTCTTTTTAAGAAAGTGTCAAGTGTGTCTTTCGCTATTGATAAACTATCCAATCAAAGACCCATGGTAGTTAGGTCAAATGGAAGAGAGTTAATACCCCTTAAAGAAAAGTCAAGGATTCAAACTTTATGATTTTCGATAGGGAAAAAATGGCTAGGATAGTTACCCCTAATCTGAACCCAGCAAAACTTGACTCTGGATTAATTGGTAGTAACAAATACTATAATAGTGCACCCAAAAGGGGGGAAAACAAAACCTATCCAATCAAAGAACTAAAATAGCTCAAGGAAAATAAATGGGAAGCAAATCCTTCCTCTCCACTATGAAGTGAGAGATTTCCAGATTAAAAGCTTCTCAATAAATTTTCTCAAATGCATGCTTCTCTAGGTAAAACATCCAATCTACAGATCAAAATCACCAAAAGAATATGACAGAAGACCCTCCCAAGGTAGTCAAAGGCAAAAGATGCTTTTAAGACACTAGACTTCTAAAATGCCTTAGGGGGAGATGTTAGAAAGACACACGTTTGAGAGAACATAGCTGATCAAGTCATAACTCATTAATATTAAGAAACACATGAGATCATCAGTTAAGCCATATGTCAATGTCTAAAGTTTAGTAATTAACTTTAGGACTCTCTAAAAGGTGTAGCTCTGGTCCTTTGCAGGGTGGCATTTTTTTGTCAATTTGCAAATCACCAAAAAGCTAAGCCTAAGTATTTTTTTTTAAATAATAATACCTATTTTGCCTAATTCTTAAATGTCTGAGGCTGGGCTAGAATTCTAAGATTGAATCCTGTTATTTATCTTGTTATTACTTTTAAATTTTTGAGCTGGGTTCCCTTTTAACTCCCAAACACAAAGAAGCACCTAAGTGGCACTTGCCTAGCAGCACATCTCTTGGCGTGAGAAATACTAGCCTTAAAAGCGCCTTGCCTCAATGCCTTTGACTAGCATGGACCTTTTCCTCAACTATAAAGGTAGAGATTCTTTGAGATCAGTCATCCTAAAATAATATGTTTATATCATGTAGGTTATGCATGTTTTGAAAGAAATTTTAGGTATCAAGGAGAAAATTGAACGCAATGTATCTCCCCCCAACGCATACCAAATTGAAGCTTCCAATCTTAGCCAGATTACAAACTATAAATCAGATGCATGTGGTCATTTGCAGGTAATTACCAATATGTTAGAAAGTTTATGTCATAATTGAAGAACTTCCAATGGTCGGAGAATAACATGCTGGATGCATGTACTGATTCTTGACTACTCACTTACTCTGTCCCTGTAGATTTTCCTCTCACTTCTGGACCATTGAACTCTTGTGGAAAAATAACTAAAACTTACCACTTCAAAGCAACCGCATGACAATAATAGCAAAGATAAGACGCAAAATAAAATACCAAATTCATACTCTTCACAGAGTGCAGCTGTCTTGTGGTAGCTGCTTGCTACATCGAATGCATTTATCTCGCCATACATCTTCCATTGTGTATCAAATTTTCAAATTTGAAAACTGAATGCTAACCCTCACCTCAATCATTTCGTCCGAGGCCATGAAATCTCGCACACAGCTGCTCAAAGCCCTAATTTTGCACCCAGTGTCCTTCCTAATCTTCTCCACCACCTTCCCTCCCTTACCAATAACCGACCCGACCTGTGGTGAATCCGCCAGCAGTCTGCAAGATACCACTCCATCCCTCACTTCAGTGCCGGCAGTCTCCGCCGCAACATCAAGGACTCTCTCAAACACCTTCAAAAGAGCTTCTTGCGCCTTCGAAACGTCGACGGCCACACCGTCCCAACAGCGTCGCTACCGCCATATCCATTCCGCTCAGCCGGCCTCCCCAGGTAAACCTTACTACTGATAGCAGACGGAGCAATTATGACTACAACCCGGTCCGACGTATCGGGCGGGGCATCCTCCACTCGAATCTTGGCGCCAGTGAGTTGCTGGAGGTTCTTGATGATGGCTCCGGACTTCCCGATGACGCCGCCGATACGGGAGGCATGGCAGAGCATGCGGAAAGCTACGTGACCAGGAGGTACCCTGAGCCGTGGCGGCGGAGGCCTGGACTTGGAGTGGTTGGAGGATCCATTTGTTGAATATCGGGTCGGGTCGGCCATTTGGATAAGAGAGAACAGCGTCGGGCGCTTCTTCTTCTCGGAGGAGAGAGAAAGCTACCACCGCTATATTCACGCGTATTTATATGTCCGACTCCATTGTTCGATTCAAGCGCCCAATAGACGCCTTTACAATATTATAATATTATAATTATAAGTTACAAATATAAACAGATTTTTTTCTTGAAAAATGACAAATAAATCTTACATAAAAAAATAAGCAAATAATAAAATAAACCATAAAATAAGATGATAATTTTGAAATCCTTGGGGAGTTGTCCACATTTTTTTTTTAAATGACTATAATGTTTTCAAAAGCAACTGACAAAATGGCCTATAATTATTTTCCTGAAGCAAGTGATTGAAATAATATAAAAACTAATAATCATTTTTCAATTTTATTTTACAAGTGTTGAATTTTGAACGTAAATAACAACTTCAAAAATGTCAAATTACTATTTTTCATTAATCAATTGGAAATAGTAATTTCTTACGCTATTTTTTTTTTTTGGGTAAAGAAGAAGGGCAAAGCCCTACTACATAATAACATTAAACAAGAAGAGGGAATTGAGATCCCAAACACTCCGTATGCACCAAGTCCCTACAAAAATGGGAACAGAATAAAAAAGTAATTAAAATAGTGTAAGAAATTACATTATTTTAGTTCCTCACTTAATAAAAATAGTCATTTACCTTTGAAAATATTATAGTTATTTCATGGGAAAATTTAATTTCATTTGAGTTGTTAGAAGCTTTAAAATTATTATCACATTTTATGATCCTCTTTTATTACTTGTCTACTTGACCAAGATTTATTGTTCATTGTCAATTGTTCTTTCTGGTAATGTTTGCCCATGTCATTCTTAACAAAAGATGAAATTGTTATTAATTTTTTTTTCAAGTTTCAACAATGCTTTGTGTCACTTCACACAATCTTTTGTGTCACTTCACCCTTTAAAAGGGTCTAATAAGCGAGATATTAAAAATTAAATTGATCTAATCAAAATATAGGCTAAAGACTTGTATCAAAACACTCACAAAATATATAACCTCATTTCTCTCAAGCCAAATTAGCTCGTATATCCAAGTAACATAAGCGCTCCCTTAATTGTCGAGTTTTTCAGTAAAAAGTAAGTGAAAAGGACAATTTTTGATATACAAAATAAAAAAAGTACTTTAAAAAAAGAGACATGAGATTTGATTAAAAGAGAGAGGGAGAAGAGAAATGTTTCTAAAAAGAAAATGAAATGGAAACGTTTCTAGTTTCTTTTTTAAAAACTACTTTTTCAATGTTTGTTCTTGCTCATGATAGATAACAGACACGTCCGAGGAGCTGCACTTTTGTTTGAAGAGGATGGACCCAACAAACCAAGAAAATATTACATAGCAAAACTCTAAAAATTGTATGTGCCCCATTTAAAAAATTTCATTTGCCTCCATCCTTTTTTTTTTCTTTGAAAAAAAAAAATCACTTGCTCCCTTACAAAAATTCAGTTATCTCATATAAAATTTTAAGATAAACATAATTTTAAATCCCTACACTTTGCTCATATTTTACTATCAATCCTTATACTTTTTTTTAGTATTTTAGGTCCCTCGAAGATTCCTATACTTTGTTTATGGAGGGATATAAAATAATAAAAATAAAAGTATAAAAATCTAGAATATAAAAAAAAAGTACAATGAGTAATAGCAAAATGCAAGCAAAGTACAGGGATCTAAAATTATATTTTTTCAAAATTTTATGATCTAAAAGACTAAAAAAATTATCCATTAAAAGATATTTTTATTTTTTATAATTTTATATTTTATGCATTTTTTTATTTAATTTTACTATGTTATCGTAAAAACCGCTCAAAAGAGGTCTTAGGCTAATTAAAATTTAAAACAAATACTGCAAAAATAAAGATAAGTAAAAAACGATATTAACAAACAAAATTGAGTATAAAGAAGAGAAGTTTTGCAAATAGAGTTTATCGTGATTCAACTCTATCCACCTGAGTCTAAATCTAATCCCCAAGGCAACTTTGGGATTTTTTTATTATCCATCAAGATTAAAACAAACTCTTGATTATCACCGTACAACACATATGTCTTATTAAGTCTAAAACTCTCTCCCTTATAAAGATAATTACAAATTCCCTTAAGCTTCTTAAGCTTAGGTTTCTCTATTTTAGATATGAAAAACAGGGATAAACAGAGTAAATTTAAGAATTAACTACTACTATTAAAATCTCTCTTAAAGAGTAAATTTACAATTAATGAAACCTACAAATAATAAATATTGCAACAGGAAGTTAGTTAGAAAAAACTACACATAATTGTGCACATCACTTCTTTACATCTCATTTTATAGATGAGTCATATTTATAGTTGATGCTGAGAATAGATCTGTTATTAGTCGTCGGAGCGTCATTCTTCTTTCCTTATGTCTTTCTCCAAGAATGAGACGATAAATTAGCGATTTACAATGGAGTTGCATGTTTTCGACGTTTTAAGAAAAGTAACAGTTATATACATTTAATACTCTGATAAAAGTAGGTAAGTTACTATCGATAGAGCCAAATGCTATACAAGTATAAAAAATAAACAAAAATTGAATTAGAGTTCAAGTTGTCCTATGAATGTGTTTAGAAGTCTTCTAGATATATGAATATGAGAGCCTAACTCTTAGAATATGAAAGAGACAAATAACGAGTGAGCTTCAAATTGCACTGAAATGAGATCGAAAAACAAAGCACAAATCTTCATAATTGTACCGATATAAGCTACTTGTATTGGTATAAGCAAGAACTCATTTGAAAAAGTGCAAACTTACTATATGGATATAAAAGATTTGTAAGAATTAATAAGTGTTTAATCTAATCTGAAGCTGTATTAAAAAGGATTCCAATAAGATTATACGATTAAGACAACTCATAAAAAGTGAAAGGAATTGATATTGAATGAGTTTTGAAGAGTATGAAATCAAAACACAAAAAACAAAGCATATTTCTTCATATTTACACCAAAATAAGCATCACCATACCAATATAAGGAAGTTTTGCATGGACATAAGGAAGCTTTGTATCAAAATAAGAATTCAAAAATAACTAAATCAATTCTTACAACAAAAAAAATTCAAAATAATTCAACTTCTATTGAGTATAACTCTTATTTTAAATTCAAATCAAGTAAATGACCTATGATTGAAAAACTCTGAATGTATAATTTCAAATGAAATAATACCTAGAGGAAAATTCAAAATAGTTTGAGAAATATGATCAAAATGGTTATAAAAAATCAACAATGTTTTTTTGCAGGTCTGAAAGTTTTAATAACCAACTTTGAAAAATCATATTCATTTCATAAAAATCTACTTTTAATGATATCAAGTTCTTTGGAAATCTATTCAAGCCTATTTTCAAATTAAATAAGTTTCACATCAAATTTCATTTGTGTATTAAAAGATATAGAGAAAATACTAATTAAATGTCAAAAACGAATATCTCCAAAACTTTTAATTCAAAATATAAACGTTAATAACATAATTAAGTCAAGCTAAAACCTCTATAGGTTATCCTATTAAATAAAATTGACTACATAGATTGCATGATATTTTTTACCGTATCAACACCCAAATCAATTTGAGGCATTCATCTGCATATACTAAGGAAACATATATTTTAAGGAGAATTACATAGAAGTCTCACATAAAAAAATTAATTATTACAAGGTATATTGACATATAAACTAAACATCATTAATAACATTGAAGTTTTGTACAAAGAAATTGATTATTACAAGGTCCTTGTAGCATTATTTGATAATTAAATATGGACCTAATGGTAATTAATTTCTTGTGTGAAACTTGAGTGTAATTATTCTTATATTCTATAAATAAGAATAGGATTGGCATTGCAAGATTGAAAATAAGATATTTGGTAATGAAGAAACTACTACATTATGCGTCCATGTTCTTCCTTCAACCTACAGTTAGTCAAGGTCCCACTGTAAGCTTAAAATACTCCAATCTCCCATACTTCAGTTAGAGTCAAACAGGAAGAAGCCAAATTCCCATATTTTATGATGCTTTGAAGGAAGCTGAGACAAAATGCTTCAAAAGCTGTACAAAAAATAAAATAAAAATGCAGCCTGCATCGTAGAAAATTGATGTTGGCTTGGATGAAACAGCTAGTGTAAGTTAAAATTAAGCAACAGATGCCTGAATTGGATGATCCTGCAGTGACCAATGATGTTTGTCCCCTTGACGTCTCAACACTAAAGAGTGGGCAACAATCAGCAGTGAAGAGAACCTTTCCAAAAAAGAAAAAACAAGAGACGGTTTCAGAATCCTCCACTCACTATGACAATTCTACTGAAATTCAAAACCCAGAAGAGTTTTTTTTTTTTTTTTTTTGGGGGGGGGGGGTTCACAGTTCCTGTGGAAAAAAGGGATTGTTTCTTATAATTTGGATTAAAGCAAGTCTCCCAAAATTCTCTTATATTCAAGACTGGGGGTAGCATTTTTCTACAGCTTCGCACCACATGATTGATTCATAATAACATGTCACTTAACAATTCACAATTTCTTCATTAGAAAACCTAATGACAAATACTAAAGGAGATTATTTAAGTTTTGTCCATAAGCAAAATTGCATAGTACTCCAAAACTAGAGCAATTTCGCAACTAGCCAAGCCAACAATTTGATTGAGTAAATTAAACAAAGCTTTTGAGGTTTTGTAATACTCCCTCTAGTCTTTATTATAAGGACTTGTTAACTACTTCACATGAATTATGGAAATTAGTCTAAATTAGTTTAGTGCTAAAAACTTCTCTAATTTTCAGAATTACCCTTAACCACGTTAAAAAATGTAAGTTGTTTTCCACCATGTTTTCACCAAGTGAGGGGCGAGTTGGAAATGAGTCATAATGTTTCATTAAGTTTTGTAAAGGTTATATTAAGGAACATGAGAAGGGATCTTATAAATAAGACCAGAGAAATTGTTACACAAACATCCTTAAATGAGGTAAGGGGCAAATACCCCATATCACATACTTGAGCATAAACAGTTCATTTTTCTGATGTAATCCCTACATGCCCCAGCATGTTGCAAAATACATATAAATAACACTTCAGCAACAGCTAGGAAATAATTGGAACCACAAAAAATTGAAAAAAAACGAAGAAGTCATTTTCAGATAAAACTGGTCTTCACTCATTGTGCTAAGTATTTTGACGGTGGGCAAGCATAACAAGTAATTGGTTATTTGAAAATTTTAGATGGGTGCTCCTAATTCATTCCATTTGATAGGTACTTGTAATGTCAAAATACCTTAAGGATTTTGCACATAATTCACTCAAGTTGATGTCGTAATTTAGCCAGAAAAATATCCTCTTAATATTCTTCACGTGCTATAAACTCCATAGAGGTATATATTGACTTGGCAAATCAAATTAGAACTTACCCAACAAATATGAAGAATTTGCAAGTTTATGAAATTATGTACAATGATACTCTAAGGTTGAAGCCTAAGCCGGTTGAAGAAGACCAAAAAATGATACTCAGGGGCCCAGTACACAAATCCAACAACTGGCCCTGCTTTAATGTACTGCAAAATCCACAGAAGGCTTCTTGCAATCAGATCCATTAGCACAAAAATAATACTAGATAACATCAAGCCACAGATGAAATAATCAGGATAAAACAATTGGGCAAAATTGAAAGATGCAAACCTTCCCATCTAGGATCACTAGCTCACCATCAACCCATCGAGGATTCCGAAACCCTGGCTCGGCAAGCCTTCCTTGGCCCTTATACCGAGCAATCTGAAGTATCAACAAGTTCACAAGATACTTCAGAATATCTTCTACTTCACTTCATTACAGTCAATATAGAAAGGAAAATAAGGGGACAAGGCGGGTGATGAAGGGCAAAATGAGAACAAAGAATGGGAAGTCCCAATAAGAACAGAAGTTGTCATACCACACCAAACTCTTCTGGAATTATCCCTTTATGAGGAAGCTGATATCTCTTTCCAACTTTTGCACGAAATGCTACCTAAGGATAACATGGAACATGATCAATAAGAAGTATCAGACAGGCTACATAATGAGAAATTAACTGTAAAGTGAATGAAAACCTGCAAAGCAACATAAAAGAAAAAGAGAATCTGCTTATGCTAAGCCTAGGTTCACAATATATTAACCATCATAATTCTGCACCCAAATAAATAAATAAAAACTGTCAAGAGAATATGTTGAAAAATTTTAAGATAATAATAAAGTTAAGCATATGCACTTTTCATTTGCGAAGATGGCTCCTGATAAACAGGTATAAGATAACCACACGATTCCAGTAATGCTGCAGCATACGAGATGTACATAGAATAATGGGAGAATATCATTGAAGGACTTCAAAATGATTTAATATTAGACAAGGACCTGTAACAAGTAAGCATTAACAATTGACAAGTGAAAGTTCAAGTTTTGACAAGCATCCAATCCATCCAAATCCTTGTCTGATATTAAATCATTTTAGCGGTCTTTCATTTACATTCTCCCTAGAATAATTCATGGCCACAGAAAATATGCAAACTAGACATGAAGGCACTGAAGGTCAGATAGCTGTGCTAACAAGATGCATACAACAATTGCCAGCTGACGGCTGTCAAAATTGTCATTTATTCAAGCTACCCGGCAAATTTCTAGAATTGTACCCCAAAAAAACTTCAATGGCATCCCTTCAGTGTCAAGTAGGAGATGCCACTTAGGTCCATCACAAAAAATTAACCAATTCAATGCTGAAAATTAGGGTGCAGAAAGAAATTAAAATTTTCACCCCTTCTTTTTTAACACATTTTTGCAAGAAATTATATAAAGAATAAAGATGTGAATGAGGAGACTAATATACGGTCCTGAAGAGGGGGGGGGGGAAACCAATATGATAAGCAAAGAAAACTAAACAGAACCTTAAACATGCAGTAAAGCAACCCGATCCCTCTGCATATCTAATAGCAACGCTCCCTTCAAAAAGCCATAAGATGAAAAGAAAAGAAGCCACAAACATAATCACATCCCAAAGGGCGTGTTTTTTAACACATCCTAAAAAGACAAAGAGTACCCTAAAAGTACAAGTATTCTGCCCCAAACAAATATTTCAAATCATAGGGTAAACTACACATTGCAACAATTTTTCATTTTGCATATTTACAGTACATTATTGGTTTTCTAAGTATAAAATAGGTTGTGCTCGGACTTTCAGCCTGTTTATACATATTATTACTATGATCATCATCCTTTTTGCAAGATCCCATCGCATGAGAGACCATTTAAAACTTGACATCCAGCGAAAGCTGTACAAGATGAAAAATTTGGGTAATCAAAGTTATCCCCGCAACAACACTCTCGGTCAAGATTTTCTTTCATTTTTTGCCCAAAATTATCTTTAGATATGAAATAGCCACAGTTTTTTTAAAAAATTGAAGGATATAAAACATGCCTAAAACTGTGTCAAACATCCTAGGGCAAAAGGATCATATCATCTGCAAGCTGCAACTGTGAAACCATGGCTTTCTCAGAAGCGGCTGTAAGAGTCTAGATCATTGTTATGAGAACTGGCCAATTGGACTGGAAACACATGTCCAATCCAAAGATGTGAGAAAACAAGCAGGCCAGAGAACCAGTGCAGAAATGGTCAAACCAGCCAGAACCAGAAGACCAGTGGTCCAACCAGTCACAAATATTTTTTTACTATATTAAACTTTAATTTTAATTCACGTAAGCTATTATTTATACATATCTACACTCAATAAGCACAGGGAAAGGAAAAATGAACAATAGGCAAGAAATGTGTGCGTGCGTGCGTGCGTGTGTTCTAAAATTACAAATTATAAAATAAGTATATGCATTTTGGATGAAAACTTTGGATGAATGTTACTTTTTTTTTTTAACTATATGTTATATTTCTTTGAATTTTAATATTCATTTTTTATTATGAATGACTATTTCTTTTATGTTATGCACATATCATTTAAAATATATTAGTTTATTCATGACTGATTCAACCATGGCTGGACTATAGTCTAACCATTAAACCATAAATTAGTGTCTAAACCAGTTCAATAGCCAGTCTATTTTCTTAACATTGGTCTAGAGTCTAGATCAGAGCAGCCCTCTTTGAAGCTCTAAACAACATCAAACTTAAAAAATCCACCACAAGAGTAAAAGGGGGCAAGGGGATCTCCTTTTGTTGACCTCAAAAGAAAGATTTATTTTCACCACAAAATAATCACAAAAAAAAGGCGGCCATAGAAAGCCAACCCTAGATATATTTCTGACATCTACCACTAAAGCCTTTCCTAGCCAGGACCATACAATAGAATCCACAGCTCCCTATTACACAATTTTCACGTTACAATTTAATGACCACACCTTGCCCCTGCCATTTCTTCATGCCATACACATCACTGCTGCTAATGCAGCTTCAAAAATGTGTCTTCTGGGCTGCAATTTGATTTTCTGGGATCGCATGATACCTCAAATAGCGTAGCTGATAAAACCTAAGAAATAATAAACTCCTACTTCTTAAATAAATTATCTTATCTCATGCTACATTTCTCAACAAATACCATATTTGTGCACCAATTGTATCCACCATAATCATGAGCATTGAAAACTGTAACATCTAGGGCAAAAGATGGAAGAAAAAGCTCTTCAAAATGACACTCTAGACCTTCTCATCCACAATTTCAAACATAAACAATGATTATAAAGGCTTCAAGCTGACAGCATATTTCTCAATGCAAAGCTTACCAAATCCTTGTTAATTAAACATTACATTCTCTATATATGAAAAAAATTGCTTCTTGTGCTTAATCCCCATTCCTAATTGAGTCATATATGTCAAAGGCCAGTTCTCCTAAAAGCTTCAACTGTTCAGGAGGCCGAATGATGAATGATCATATAATATCACAACATATCTTCTTTTATAAAGCATACATCTGCTGTATATTGTGCTAAACATTGAAGGCCCTGAGATGGTTTTATAACTTTTACAATATACATCAAAGCATAATCAAAACTTCACCAAATCGTTTTGAAATGTGTGTATATATTTGACCAGATCAACAAAACCAGGCCAAAAAAATACAGCAATTATTATTTCCAGCATCAAAAGACAAATAGGTTGATAAAGTCGAACATATAAAAATTCAAATCCTTACCTGGCCAGCTGGTACATAAGGATCCCCAGTTAGTTTAAATGCTTCTACATACTCATAAAACTCTAGATCTGAAGATTCCCTAGCAGGGTCTTCTTGCCATTGACCAAATCTACGTCTAAGTTGAATGACTTCCGAGGAGTAAAGACCATGTGTACCAATGTATAGACCTGATGAAAATAAAGTATTTGCTGATCACTATGAAGTGTAAACCATGGATCCAAACCTAAGTCCAACAAAGCTGCCAATATTACCTAAAACTCAAAATCACAAGTTCTATAGAAAATTACCATTTAAAGGATCTGAAGAAGCTGGTACTTCAATACGATTGAAAATAGTAGACCCAGATAATGGTTGGTGGTTCTGAGCTTGGCTAAGAGTAAGGCTTATTAATTCTCCTACATCTTTCAGAACCTAAGAGAATAACGCAGAACATTATAAGCAAGCAATATCAAGGAGAAGCAGCTTCATCAAAGAAATTCAATTTTGCAAAAATATTTTCAAACATTAAAACTTCAGTGGTTACATTTTCATCATTAAATATTCAGTACTGAATGATAAGCGCTAAATTCAATTCTATCAAAGATGCACTCAGTAAATAAAATTTTGTCAAGTAAAAACTTGGACCTACCTTAGAGGGCACCTTTCCCCTACCAATAAACTTAGCAAGATCAAACATAACATGATCAACAGAGCGTTGACCTTGAATCTTAATTGATTTATCTGATGAAGATTTCCCTTTGCCATGATCATCCTGCTGGTTGACTTCTTTTTCTACAGTGAACGAAAATAAATCACGTCCATTCTCCAGCTTAGCAGGAACCCGAAGCAAATCTCTTGCAGATAAATTACTAGAAAGTTTCTGAGCAAGACCACCAATAACAAGTTTAACTGCAATTTCTTTCTGCTCCTCACGTCCAATGGTCTCAGGACCAGTATTAATTTCAATATCATCATCTCCCTGTTGGTCCCTTTCAGACTTAACATCTTCAATTTCCAGGCTTTCTGTCTCATTTTCCTTCTCTTCCCCTTCCTCTTCCTCTTCCCCTTCCTCTTCCTCTTCCTCTTCATCTTCTTCTTCCTCAATTATCTGTTCAATCACCTTAGATATTAGATCCTTGTCTACCTTCTCTGAAGGAGTCACTTTCAAAACCTTCACCTTTACACCAGGAATCATATCCTTCAAGACATTCTGGAATCCAGATATTCCCTCAGCTGAGTCTGAGCCATCATCCTTATCGTCACCACTCTCAGGATCTTCGGTACTCACAACAAATAGCTCACTTCTTCCTTCAGGAGACTCCACTGAACTCAATCTCTCGGCAGCATTTGATGCCTTAGAGGAGGCTATTGAGGAGGGGTGGACACCTCCTCTCCGCTTTAAGTAAACAGCCTGAAAAGCATCAGCCCTAAGATTAATATACAAAATGATCAATGTGCCCCTGTTTAGAAATATAAAGCAGAAAACAAGCAAGACTCTACCAAAAGATAAAGATGAGAATGCTACATAGAGCTACATATGATATAGTAGTATCATTGTGAGTTGGCATGTATAAACAAACATGAGTTGATCCTTATTCCTTGAAGAAGGCAAGGACATTGCAGTATCGTCAAGCTAGCATACAAATGAATGTACAGACTGCTAAATAACACAATTCAATAATTCACTAAGTAACTAACTATATCTGAATTGAAAAAATTATGACTCATCAATAAGAAAACCAGATTGCTTTACTTGGTACGATGCATGTTTATACTACAGTAATATTTAATAAGTAAAATATCTAAATTAAAAGGAATGGATGGGGAAAAACTGTGTCTTTATGGAAATTGAACTGCAAGAAAACCAAACAGCAGGAATGCATCACCTTAGAAGCAAGGGCAAGATTGCTTGGTGCGGTTTAAAGCATAAAGGAATTTCTTTTAAAAATATTCAATCAACTAGGCACTACCTGAGGAAAATACTAGAAGCATAAAGGAATTTCTTTTGAAAATATTCAATGAATAAAATTATTTAGTTTACATGCAGTTAATTAGTTGAACTGCAATATGCATATGAAACCTGCCTAACTATCAACAACTCATTAAATCAGGTGAATTTTGCTAAGCATATAATCCATCATCACTCAGAAACATCCCTGTTCGCCTGAATGCTTGTTGCATTTACCGTAATATCTAATCAAACCACAATATGGAAGTTAAGAAAGTAGAGAATAGATACCTGCAACTTATATTCACCTTTCTTATTCACTGTAAGAAAAATTTCAAATAAAGGAACACCAGCAGCAGATGTAGCTAGTTGCCTGGAAAAACAAGGCGAACAAAATTCAGAACCATAACTTAGCAGGATTGCCAAAAAAATTAAACAGTATGTACAGAAAAGCATCTTAATGTCCAATTGACCTCCAAGACAATCAAATCATAGGCTTCTTGGAAAGGCATTTTGAAGCTGTGTTTCAACCTAGGGAGCAGACACAACAAAGACCAAGCAACATCACAAAATCTGAACCGACCATAAAAATTTAAAGTGTCATATCACGGCCAATACAAGTGCTAAACATGAGTTCAGACACAAACAGCTTATTTTGAAATGTCTGTCCTTCACAGGTTCCATTCAGTGGGAACAGATGGCACAAGGAACAAAAGTCAGGTACACCTATAACATGAAAGAATATGTAATTTACTTTTTCCATTTATTTTTCTGATAGAAAGCCTACATCTTCAGTTACTTCATTCGGTCATGGATGATGACTGCACCTAGTTTCCCACCATGATCAGGGTTTCTTTGCCATGTGAATCAAACACTAACGGGAGGAATAATAAGCGAGATAAATATTTCCTAAGCAATCACCACCACATGGTATGAAATAATTTTCCATACACCTACCATGTAAAAACAAAATGAAGTACTAATTGATTTTCAAACCTTCACATAACTCATTCACCGTAGTACAGTGATAAAGTGGTAGCACTAGCATCTCCTTTCCCAAACTGTTTTCACGAATGGCAAAATTCACAATGCATTATCATTAAGCGAAGGAAAATACCTAGGACTATAACTCCTTGCAACATATCTTCCATGCTCTGGAGTTATACGAATAATTAGACCGTGTGGATCATTAGCATTTTTTGAAATGCCAGCCCACCAACCTACCTGAAAGCCAAAATATACTCTTAAGATTGAAATATAACACACATCAGTTAATGCCAGAGAGCCAGAGAAGTTACAGCTTGACAGTCAATAAAATGGCATCTTACAGACGTAGCATGAAAAACAATAAAGCACACAAGCTTCCTATTTAACCAAATTACTGGAACATGGTTGTTAGTATAAAGTAATAAAAGAAATGCAGCCTACTTTCAGGATAGTAATCATATGAACGAGAACATAATGAATTCCATATTTGGTACCTCCTAAAATTAACTCCCGTCACTGATTTGAGCTCTGGGAACATATTCACAGACTAAACAACTCATAAAGGCAAATAAATTGGGACATAAATTCCAGTGATCACATTGAAACTCCCAAGAAACAGGCAGCCATACTCCCTCTTGGCTTTCAAGGTCACAAATTATAAGACATTGCCATAAAATAGGATGAAGAACAAATAACCATAGAAGAGAAATTCAAGATAAAAGACACCCAAACCTTTCGAACTTAAGTAATAGTAATTTAAGGGCAGGTACTAGAATTACTAGGTCAGCCTATGAAATTGCATATCAACCAAAAGGCAAGAGTTATTCATGCAAGTTTTCAAAGAAAAACATTTTATGAGAACTCACGAGACCAGCACCAGCTTTATCTCTTAGAAAAGCTGCATCACTATACCGCTCTTCCTCTATGGCTTTCTGAAAAAATTTTAAAATAAAAAGTTATAAAAGCTCATGAACAAGAAAACACAAAATTTTAAAAGCAAGTAAAGAAATGCCTTTTGTCTGAAAAACATTGCATGAGTCCGAATTCTTACATTGAGATGAGATATCACTCTTCCGACACTGTCATTGGTAGCTGCAGCAGCAATTGCCACCTTAAGCCTAGCAGCGTCTTCATAATCCTCAGAGTCCACAGCACGGCTTAACTGAGACTGTTTAGCACAAAAACATTTTGGCATTAAAATGCCTCCAAATTGAAAGATCAGCCAGCGGCTCGGATTAGATAACTCCAAATGATTGCTAGTTTAGTTTAGTAGAGTTCCCAGATATGAAGCTACGCTCTTATATGCACCACTAGTTAGTTACCATTATAGCTCCATAAAAACTCCTTTAGCTCTGGTAAAAGCAATTTAAGAAAAAACCATCATGACTGCTATAATGAACTAGCATTTTCACACACAACAATGTCATGAACATTTTTTCCGTTTTTGACCAAAACTACATTCCAATTAATCTTTATCCAGACATCTTGCACACAACATTCATAAGCGATAAAAGAGAAACGTTTCAAAGCTACATCGTCTCAAGGAATGAGCAAGGAGTATATTAAGTATGCGACCTAATGCTACATTAAAAGCAGATAACATTCTAGTTTAATAATAAAAGTAGTAAACTAGATGTCGAAATTTAAATTAATAATCGTCTGCTTGGTCTGGACACTCCAAAGAAAATAGCTGCACTTTCTGTCAACTACGTCTTTAGAACCAAGAAGTGATTTGCTACAAAAATTAACAAAAATTTTCTCCAGACCTTTACGCGAAAGTAAGGCAAAAATCATACAGAAAATTATAATCTTATTATCCTCCCTCTCGCCTCCACTTTTCTTGTATAAACTAGTCTAATTAATCAAACTAGCAACTTTTAGCTATATTACATCATCAGCATATAATGCCCCAGGCTTTATTTCATTCTGCCGAATGAGGGAAACTATAAGTTGAATTAACTCTTGCCTAAGAACCACGAAGAAACGGAATAAAACGAACTACAAATCAAATTTCAGTTACATGCATAAATTATCAATTCTAAATGCACCTTGAGAATTGAGACGAGACGCTCCTGCTCATCAATATCCTGAAAATGCTTGCGCCATCGATCCCAATCCCATTCCCATCTTCGGGTTCACGATTCTCCTTCTCCGAGCCATCCTTCTGAGCCACACTAGCATTCTTTCCCGTACCCAAAGCCTCATTCCGAAGAGAATTCACGTACGAACCGCACAGCTTGATGGCGTTCCTAACTACATCCGGAAGCATCGATTCCCACCCCCGGTTAACGGAGTCATCGGACGGCGACGGAGACCCAGGGGCGGGATTAAGGCAGCGGCAAAGGAAAGTGGCATCAGCAGAAAGAGAGTGATGTGAATGCAACGAGAAGGGGAGTGAAGAGGGTGATCTCAAAGGGAAGGAAGAAGAAAACTTGGGGCTTGGGAAGTGAAGATTGGGAGGTGCAGAAGGTGAAGATATGGAAGCCATGGACACAGAATCTCAATCTCTGTGTGTGGATTAGAGAGAGATAATAAATTGAAGAGAGAAAGATAACAGCTTTTTGTGAAAGAGAAACGAACTGTTTGTATATGCGAATATTTGAGTAAACTTACGTTTCGTGGCTGTGAGGAGGAAGAAAGTGAGGCGTGGTCGCCACTGGAAAACCGAGAAAACGCTCATAAAACAACAAAACTTGAAGCTCTAAACATGAGGCTATGAATCTGGCAATGAAATTGGGGGTGAAAGAAACAGAAGATCCAGCAAACACAAGGATAAGGATTGAACTTATCTCCAGGTTAAACTTTGGTTAAAATGTTTTTCTTTATTTTAATTTAATTTTAAGGGTTACCATTTTTCCCTTTTTTTTTTTTATTTTTCTAAGGAGTAGGGAGTGGAGAGAATGAGGTAATATCTTTTAAATAATTTTTTTAAAAGTAAAATTTCTCTTCCATCATCTTTTTTTTTTTTAATTATTGGCTAATGTGAAATAATTGAGTATACTAACAGTAAGGTATTTTAACTCATTTTATTATTGTTTCACTATAAAATCAAGCCTGATTTCTATCATTGTCACCGTGATTTTTGATTGCCACTTCAAATCTTTTTACCTATGTGAGATGATTAAAATAAATTAAAATTTCTTATTATTATTGTATGTGTCTCTAGTAAAAGAATAATTTTACTCTACAAAAATTGTTTAAGAAGATATCTCTCCATCCTTCAGTATAGGACGCATAGGGCTTTTCAAAAGAAGTCTGGAGAAAAATGAGTCTTTAATCCTAATTTTAATATATTTTGGTTGAAAATAATTAAAATATAATTTTTTTTAAAATTGTAAGACAAAATTTCTCATATATATTTTTGGAATTTAAAAATAGATGTTATTACCTATAAATAATGTATTATGTTTATTTTAATTATAAGGTAAAATTAACTAATTTTTTAGTTAGTAAGGAGTAGTAGTTGATATTTAAAATTTATAAAAAATTACTCTTTCATTTAAAAGATGTAAGACATTTTTTAAAAAATTAAATGTTTAATATTTTAAGGTATAATTGTTATCTTTTTTAAAGTACTTCTATTAAATAAATTATTTTATATTTTTTAGGATGAAACACTTCATTAAATAGAGATAAATATAAAAATATAATATTAATTTAAAAATAAATAACTATTTTATTGAATTAAAATTTGAATAAAAATGCTTTTTTTAATGAAGGGAATATGTGATTTTCTAATAAAGTACCCTGTGAAAATTAAACTTCCACATCATTTTTCTATATTTAAGAACAAATAAGGTTTTAAATCTTTGCCTATAATTACGATGATGACTATAACAAATCTTATCCTATAGATAAGATCGACTATAGATTATATGAAACCATTATGTTATATCATTTATTAATTTTTTTAAAAATATTATTAATTAAGAGGTCTCGATTAACAATTTTAATAAGTGTTCTCTTTAATTTTTTTTTACTTCTCTTTTTGATAAGGTTTATAGTTATTTATTTTACTTTCCTTACAGTACCTACCTACTGTAGTCCTCTTTGCCTATAATTAGGATGACAATGAGTAACTTATTATAATTTAATATTGTGAGATTATATTAACTAGCCTTTTTTTTTTTGGAGAATTACTGTAGAGTCTCACAAAAACATCTAATTTCTTCAAAATCTCATGGTGTAGAAAAATAACCTTAAAGTCTTGCAGTCCTTATTGTAAATAACTTTCGTTGTCCAATTGCCAACTTGCCCATGAATTGGAAAACGAAGGCAGAAACTCCGAACGTCTGCTCCAGCTATCGATGACCCATTTTAAATCTCATTTGTCTTCCCCAGAAGGATTTGAGGTAGTTGAACTGACATTACAGAGAGCACAAGCGTGTGGTTTATTAAAGCTAATCGATCATCTCTGTTCTCCCCTGTTTTTCTTTACAGGAACAGAGATTAGATCTTAACAATAGAATGGCATACTTTTCTTTTCTTCTTTTCATGTGGAACTTTACAAATGAGAATATGTTAAATTTCATTATGGTAAGTTAAAGCAGAAACTTTTTTTTTTTGTTAAACTATGCTCGATCAGTCAGAGGGCATCATCTCACTCACAGGTAATGCATGATTCTTCCCCAATACTTCGTTTCAAACATGGACATTCACCCATGATTCTACGTTTGAAAACCACTGTTCACAGTTTATTGGTTTATGAGTAATATAAATTACAAATGAAGTAGCCCCAGGTGAGCTTCAAAGTAAGGCAAACAAGATTAATGGGAGAAGAAGGCGTAGAAGATTTAAAATGTGTCAATCTTCTCTGAGAGTTGGTTTGGAGGAATGGAGCTTCCGTCTTCATTTTCCTTTTTCCAGATGATGGGCCACTCGGCAATTCGACATAAAAAGTTATTTACAGTAAAGGACTCTGGCACTTCAAAGCTACTGATGCGTTTCATGAGATTTCAGAGTAACTAGATAGTTTTTGCGAGACTCCACAGTAATTCTCTCTCTCTTTTTTGCCAACATATTAAGTAGCTGAATTACATGGTATATAATAGATAAGATAAAATAAGATATAAGATCCACTATTTATATTTATTAGAGAAAATAATAATAAAATTTTCATAAATTATATAAATAATAATTTAATGTCTTGAAATATCTAGAGTTTTGTGCTTGAAAATTTATTTAAAAAATGAATTATATGAATTGTTATTATTTATTTAAAAAGTTTCATCACAACTTGTGCATTTTTAAAGTTTTGCATTTAAAATTTAATTTAAAATTAATTAATTTTCTTATGAACTCTCAGTCATTCTCCCCTGTGCGTGAGACAGAGAGAGATGAAAAGGTTGGGTGAATTATGGCCCGATTTTGTCTCCTTAGTCAATGATCCAATTTAAAACTTATCTTGATTTCTTTTTGGGCGATATTAATGTTAATATTTAATATATTTTTATTCAATTAAATTAGAATTAATAAATTTTAAGATATTAATAATATTAAAAATGAGAGTTTGTTATAAAATAATATATAAAAAATTTACTTGTTTTAATTTTAATTTGATTGAAAACAAATATTAAGTATATAAGATTAAGTGTATAAGTATTTTTCTTGTTTATAATATCATTTTAAGCTTCATGTATATTTTGGAGAATTAATTAAAAAATAAATAGTTAGAGAAAATTTCTATATATTACATAAACATAAAAAAAATTGAGATTTTGTTAATAATTAGTATGCCCAACCCTTTGAAAGAGAAAATGTTTATCGTTCCCATGAAATCACCCAATATCTAGTTCATAAACCATATTCATACTCCAAAAGATTAACCTTGGAGGTATATTATAACAATATTAAAAAAGGAGAATTAATAACCTGCATAAATGTATACTAACAAAATTACATATGTTGTAGTTTTTACCTCGATTATAACTCTCTTTGTTTAAAAAAATAAGATATTTTTAACTGAATTTTATTCTCTAATAAAATAACTATCTACTTTCAAACTAATTTTATCTTTGTATAGTTACCCTTACTAAACACCCTATAATAAATATAAAGTTATTTATTCATAGAGCCACTTTTTTTTTAAAAAAGGCAATTATTACATCTTAAAAGATTAAAAATATCTTAAATTTTTGAACATTTAATTCTATAAAAAATGCCTAACATTTTATAATGGAAATATTTTATTATTTTTGAAAGTTCAGAGACATCTCAGCGACATGATTTTATTATTTACACTATGTTTAATTTAGTTTGGATTCTTATAGCTTTTTTTAAATGTGTTTGTTTGATTTCGTTTTCATTGATCCGTTGTTACGTTTGGCAGAAAACGTCTTGTTCATGTTTAGTTGTCCAAAAAATTTGAGAGCATTAAAAATAAAATTAAGGATAAATATAACTATTGATTCCTGTACTTTACTCACGTTTTATTTTTTATTCTTATACTTTTAATCCGATACTTTATGTTCCTACACTTTATTTTTCATTATTTTCAGTCTTGGAAGGATCAAAAAAAAAAAAAAAAAAGTATATGGACCTAAGACATAACAAAAAGGTATAGGAACCAAAAGTAAAACATGAGTAAAGTACAAAGATCAAAAATTATATTTATCCTAAAATTAAAAATAAGAAAGTATTGTTAAAAAAATATTTCAAAGAACTAAAATCTTGTATCTACCAAATAAAAATTAAGTGAAATAAAATAATGCAAGAAATAAATAATAAAATCATATAAATAATTAAAATATTTGTGTAAAAGCATACTATGTTTTATCATATACCAATAAGATTTGAATCATATATCAGTAATAAAAACTATTTTAATTTTTACCCAAAAAAAACTATTTTAATTTTTGCCACACCTTGGCTTTACGTAATTGATTTAGCCTCATGTGAACCCAAAAAAAAAAGTAAAATATCACTATCAATAATTAAAAAACAAGATTCATTCAGGGTGGGCATTCTTGTGTTGTCGGAACATATTTATTTTATTTTTATACAAAAAATATTTTATTATTTGGTGAAATCTTCACCAATAATCAACTCACCTCACGGGGCTGTGAAATTTTTTAAAGAAATATTTTCTTATCAAATTAGAAGAATCCGAATTTTTTTTAACTTTAGATAACTATACCTCATCCTAATTTAGCTTGGGTGGCAAAAAAAAAAAGAAAATTTTTTATTGATTACATGGAAATACTGAATTGAAAAACAATAATTTAAGAAAGTATAATATATTCATGCATTTGGAAAAAAAGTTATTTCAATTAACCGTGACAGAAAAATGATAGATGTTTATCCAACGTTGTTGTTTAAAATTATCATTCCAAATTTCTCACTATAAGAATATTTTTTTTATAACTGTGTATAATTTATATGAATAAGCAAGATAAATAATAAATAATTAAATTAAAGGAAAAACGTAGGTACATTTATTTATATCTATATGGTCCAATTCTCCAATCAAATTTTGGCACATAATTTTTTAATAATAACATTCACATGGATAAAATTTCAAAATTCAATTAGACCATCATTAATCATTAATAATAATAATTACATATGATAAGATTTGATTGGAGAATTGGATGTAATGGATATAAATAAATAGATATATACTTTGTCCTAAAATTAACTTGCATGTACAGCATGCCATTAAATTTAGGTGAATTGATATCATACACACACATTCTCAAATTCAAAATGCTATAATAATGCGAGATAAAATATGTTATAAAGTTTATTAAGATTTCAAGGATAAATATTTTATTAAAAAAATTATAACAATTCACTCTATAACTTTTGAACAATAAATTTAAATTAAAAATTTAATAATTACAGACACAAAAAAAAAAAACACTTTTTTGATACAAATGTTGAATAACTTCTCTTGCTGTTAGAGGGATTTGGTGAGGAAAGTGATATATAGGTTCTCAGATTCACTCTCCACTATACTTCAATCATTATATGCTGAAAATATATATGCAGTTAACTATTTATAAAATTTAAACTCGTATATTAATTAAATTAATTTATTTTAAATTTCAATTAACTTTTCTAAATGAAAAATGCATAGATGAAAGTTTTATTTCAGTTTTGTTTGAATTTAAGAAATCATAAGTCGAGATTAAAAAGATCCACTGATCAATTTCTTCCCAAAAGAGGAAACAGAGAGAGAGACATGAAACTCCCCCCCCCCCCAGAGAGAAATGGAGATAAATTAAATCATAGAAGTATGATGCCACTTACAAACTCTTCCAGGGCAGGTGTTCCTTGTATTTATTATTTATTACTGTATTTATTAATAGACAAAGACTTTCATGCCATGCTTTAAAAGCAGAATTGGAAGCTAAAAGGGAAGGTTAGCGAGTCTTAATTTTCATGATCTAACTGATTTGATCAACGATCAAACCAAGTACATATTAATTAAATAAAAAATATCAAATATATATATATATATATATATTATATTATAAAAGAAATAAATCAACAATATGTCTGGTCATCAATAAAATAATATAAATTTATTATAAATCAACAACATTATAAATTATAATTTTATAACTTTTTAAATATGTATGGATGTCGGTTTAATCAAGCATGAGTAGATGCAAAAAATATCTTCATTTATATCTATAATTGTCAATATCTTCTTAAAAAAATGATCCAAAATCATATTATATATATGTAAAAGGTCCAAAATAAAGTTGGTTTTTAATAGAAGCTAAATTTTGACTTTTTTTTCTATTTTTTAAAAAGATATTTAACCTTTTTATATTAGGTTGAGACCCATTCTATTTTGTTAAATCCGTTTTGGTTTTTAGCTCAATTTTGATTTCTAGCTCAACAATGACTCAATTCTAATCCAATCCAATCTAACTCAATTATGAACATAATTGTTTGATCCAAATGAAACTGTTAATAGCTTTGGATGATAGTTTAACTATCCACTTCGATTTGATTCTTAAAATAATGCTTTCATGAATTACCAAAATGAAAAAAAGCCAAAGAGTGATTTTGGTTGAAAGGGTAGAAAGTGGTATGGAAAAAATGACATTTAACAACTTACTAGGATTTGATCATCCCAAATGGACCTTCCAATTGTGTTGATTTTGACATGGGAAAACCAATCTGAAACTTATTTTCCTTAACTCGAATTAGTTTGAACTCGATTTCATAAATTTGGTTTAGGTAGAGCTTGGATGGGTGGATTTAAATTTAAATTTCAGATTTTGCATTTTAAAACTGACATTTAAAATTATTTTTTGTTTAGGTGGTTTAAAAAATTTCTAATGAAGAAGAGAGAGGTTAGTTAAAATTCAAAATGAAAATAAAAAGTTGAAAATGATGAATTTTGTTATATTTTAAAATCAACAAGAAACAATAATGAGAAATGAAAAAATATGATAATTATAGTAACATCAATAGTAAAAAAATGAAGACAACAAAAGATTTGAAATGATTAAAATTTTAAATGATTAAAGTGTAAATAGAATTTAAAATTATAAATGAATTTAATAAGAAATGAAAATATATAATTTTCTGTGTATCCAAATAAAAGGTTTGGTTTAAATCTGAATCCAAATTCAAATTTTCATTAATCTAAACATAATATTAATTTTTTTTGGGGACAAATGAAATTGGTTTAGTTCAACTTTGATATATTTATCCCACCAAAGTTTTATTAGTGCAAAGAGTTTACATAAGCGAGCGTAGAGGCTTAATTAGAAGAGACCTCACAATTTAAATAACATTAGCTAGGAACTTATTGATTACTTATCGATAATAAAGTCCTTACATAAAATAATATAATTTGGACTCCCATTTAGATTATATGAATTATATTTCCTTTCCCTATTGGACCAACTTTCATTGCACTCAATTATTTATTGTTTTGTAGTATTAGGATCAAATTCTTTTCAAAGCTGAACAAGAAAGTAACATGTTTAACTGGAAATGAATAACTGTGTGTATAAGATAGATGCTTTTCTTATTATTTATAGGTATTCTCTTATTAGAATTAATTTTATTTGATGTATGATTAAGTATTAAATGTGAGCACTTCTTCTAATAAAAATTTAAATATTAGCTTATTACGTTGTAAAGAACTAACCCATTTGTTAGACTCCATTTTTATTGTTGAGGATTTTGTTTGAAATAAGGAAAGAGATGACCAATGAACAATGGCCCTGTTAACCATGATTCTCAAATGCATATATTTTTATTTTAAGTGTTATTTTAGCGAATGTTGGAATGAAAATTGGTTTAATTAATAAAGATGTGACTTCTAAGTTACAAGGGTTTGTAAAGTACTTCTAAAAATGCTTTATAAATTATGAGTACTATCCAAGCAAATCCTCAATATCTAATTCACTTAAAATTTTTTAAATAAATGAATATTAAATATAATTTTTAATTCCTTAATTTTATCTCAATTATTGATTCTGTTTTTAAATTTTGACTATGAACAACTCAATCTTTATGGTTTCATATCAGCATTAATGTTAGGGTTAGAAAGAGGACCTAGCTTATATAATAATCCTTATTAGGCCCACCCATTACAGGCTTTACTAAGATTAATGGCCCACCCCTAACTGCTAATCAGATTCAGAATGATCACATAATTCATTGACTTCATCTAATTCATAAATAGTATGGTTAATTCTATATATGGAGAATTTTGTTTAGTTCAATAGAAAGTACGAATTCATAACTCCCTAAAAATATTGAATCACACAGAGAGAAGAGAGGGTTGGCCATGCAAAAAGTGAAATCATTTTAGATTTTATGGAAAAAAAACATGTCGCAATACAATACATAAAGAGAAACAATTTGTTTACTAAAAGTTTTATTCTACCTTTCTTTTTCCTTTTGCGGCATGCCAAATCCCAAATGCTTTTCTCACCGTTCCACTTTCTCCATTTTCCTTGTTCTTTTCGTACTCATACAGAGACAGTCTCAGAAAGTTACAATGACTTCTTATGCAACGAAGGGGTCACTGATGACTTGAGGCTCAAAGTCTGGTTTTTTGAGATAGCGAGCAAGTGTGTCTGCATACAATCATAACGAGCGGTCATTCTGAAACCCCACTTGTCTTATACTGCTACACAGGTTGAGATCCATGTCAGCAATTATCAAGCCGTCCCTGTTTCGAGAAGCGATGGAGTGCATGAAGCATCTGGTGCTGAGAAATGACTGGATCCGTAAAAGTGGCCGAAATCGGCATGCGCCGGCTTTCCATCTCCGGATGTAAAAGGGTTGGGGAATATCTCAGTACCAACACGGTTAATTGAAGCAACAAAATAGCTATTTGCTATTGCTGCATTACGTGCCTGAAAAGATCATACAAGACAGAAAGTTTTTAAGTGAAATAATAAAAACTCAAGCTTTTTGAGTTAAATGGTATTGACATACCATCAAATTGTTTACTCGTTTAACGAACAATGTATCACAATATATGGTTATGCCAGACCAAGTAAAGTATGTTTATTCGTTTGTTATTTGGTATTCACAAAACCAATTCAATCCTAAATATCAAAGTACAGGACTAGCATCAACTTGTTGATACATACCATCAAAACACTGCCCAATTTAACCAAAGAGTGATACGCATGCACAACAAAATGGATTTTAGAGAATTTAACATTTCAAACAAATATTATAAATATAAAGTAACTAACCTATTGGCCACATTGGCTCACTGAGTTCACCAACAGTTGCCGAGGGTTGAAAACAATTTCTGCACCATTCAAGCCGAAGGCTAACCAATTTAAAGGATGATGCCTACCATAACATATATTAATAGCTATCTTTCCATATGCTGTTTCAAATACAGGGTGGCCAGTACTTCCTTCCATAATATGTGCTCTCATTGAAGTCCCCAACTCTTGGTATATGGTTCTGCCCAATGTTGCAAGTTCATAAGTTTTTGAAAGTCAAAGAATATTTTTGCAGAAATAAAAGCAAGAAGCTCATGTAATTACCTTACGGTGTTTCCCAATAATATTCCCATGATTTCCGATAACAACAGCAGTGTTCCAGATAACCTCTCCATGATTAATATCCCTCTCAAGAATCGGACTTATAATGACCATATTATATTTTAACGCAAAACTTTGAAGGAACTGTGGATTCTCCATCAACAGGTTCAGCAAATTCACACCACCTCTTCTCTCGTGTACAGAATGCAAAAGGCATCATCCATGCTTCCTGCAGCAAAGATATATTAAACCATCCAAGATTTTCATATATATCAGGGAGAAGTCATTTGGTAAATGGTAAATGTTCACGCTCACATATGACCTACTTGCAAGCATAATACGTTGACTCCAGAAGCGCCAGCTGCATCAATTATTGGCTTTAACTTTTTAAAGATAGCCCTCTTTTGATCCAAAAAGGGAGCATTGTTGGAAGGGCAACAGAGTTTTGAATCAGACCAACCCTAACGATTCTAGGTTCTCTCAATAGTTCTCTGTCAGCATGAAATGAGAAAGCCTGAAAGAAATCAATAAAAAACATCAGGGCAACTAGAATATGGAAGGAGTAGACTTCAGTATAATTTATATATCTTAGTTGGTCATCAAGTTCTCAGAAAGAGAAAACTGAGAAAGCCTGATGGCCCTTGAATGACCCCACCCAATGTAAACATCAGAGGAATAAGGAAGAGCTGGCCGAGAGGGGGGCAGAAAACAATTGCGTGCGCCCAATCTGAAAAGGAGACTATGGAGGGAGAAGAAGGCGTGAGTAGGCATGGACTGGGTAGTGGAGGGCACAAGCCTATCAAATGCTAGGGTGTGAGGTCTGGGTGTGATTTCTTGTTTTCCCCATGTGTCTTTCCTAAGCTGAGCGACTGTGTAGTCATGACTTCTATGAATTTTGACCTTCATTTTGCAACTTGCCGGCAACCTAAGACATTGGTTAATATATAATATATATCACAGCCTTTTCCTTCATTTTTGTCTTAATTCCCAAAAGTTTTTGCATTAGAGCTACTTTGAAGTTGAGCACAGTAGCATCAAGGATGAAGGGTAGAGTTGCAAAATCTGGAGACGAGGGTTGAATTGATTGGCACTGATGATGCTATGATTCAGGGGTGTGTTGGGGAACTAAGCACTGAAAGGGTAGGTTGATAGGTTGAAGAATGGGGAAAACACTAAACAAGCAAAGCAATGGATATGGTCAGGGATATTGCTTATTTTGTTCATTCCAATTTCACTTAACCATGGATACCCAAGCTTTTCAGGGTTTTGGATTTTGCAGAAGACTCATAAGGGTAGTCATTTCACTTCCTCCTAGACAACAC